TTAATTTATTTTAGAGGGGAAGGAGTATTTTGCAAGACAGTGTAGATTGTCTCTTTGCCCATGAGGAAGTATCTGGCAAACAGATAAGCTTGACTTAAGGGGCTTAATCTTTACTATTCAGGTCATGGAGGAGTGACAGACTTTTCATATTAAATAATAATCTAACCCATTTGGTTGTGCTCCCTCATAAATTAGCCATACAGTCTCTCCCCACATGGGAATTCCGGAAGAACTAAAGAATAATTTGTTATACAAAATGGGTCGGGGCATCTACTCGGATCCCTCAATGATCATCTGACTTATTAACAAACTGGAAAGGTGTCTGCCAGGCGTAAAACACTCTTAGAATGAGATTAGCAAAACACTGTGGGATCTGAATGGCTGCAGCTTGTTCTACAGTTTGCAATTCAAGCAGAAATAGCCTCAACTATTTAACACGGATGATGTAATGTGCTGTGAGTTGGAGCAAAAGCACTGGTTTCATGAGGTGTCTGAAGATTTTAAAAGCAACCAGCTGTGTCGTCTGGTTGGTGTTCTGCAAAAGTGGACGTGGTGCCTTATGTGAGGACTCAGACCTGAGAAATTAGGGTTGTGTAACACTCAAAATCTTTATAATTCGAATAAAGCAGAGAATCAAAGAAATGTTATATTTTGGTGATCTTAGTGAATGCAACCTTTTTTACTCATACAGAAAAGAAGCAATAAGCAAATTAGAGAATTTGATTATATAGAGGTCATTTTAAAACACATTTTAGGCAGAGAAAATCACCAAAAACTACAACAGAATGAATTTTACTCTGTCTGTAAAACAATAGTACAACTGAGTATTAGGGCCAGGCTAGAGAGTTTTTTTTTCTTCTATTACGAGAATAAAATCAAAAAAATTACGAGAATAAAGTCACAACGAGAATAGTCCTAAAATTACGAGAAACACATTGTATCTTATGACAACTCTTACAAGAAGCACTTTCTTCCCTAAAATGAGGAATGTTGAGCATCATATGAAGTTATACTTTGGCATCGGTTTGACAAATAAGGAAATATTTTAGCGCACCAGCATCAAATTGGGCAGTAACCTCTTCTGTGAGCTCAGGTTGCTGTTTGGTGGAGCTGGTCATCCGTCACATGCTGGTCAGAGAGCGAAGCTTTCTTTCTAAAACGGGTTGTTGAATGATTACTTCATTCTCGTATTATTACAAATTACAACTTTATTCTTGTAATTTTTAAACTTTCTTCTCGTAATGTTATGAATTTAATCTCTAAAAAAAAAAAAATCTCTAGCCTGGCCCTAATACTCCGTCGTGCAATAGACCAATATGATACAGTAGACTTACATCATCCATTCTAACCAAAAACTCTGAAACAAACTGGGTTTATGCAGCCTACCATAGCTCAAATTCCTTCATCTGTCAAGTATGAACCTAAATATCCCAGTCTTGACTTATGACAACAGGGTTAGGGCTAGGCTAGGTGTTAACCTTTAAATATGGGTTTAATATGTGCAAGTGTGGACTGAAAGAACCCATAAACCAAACATGTCATAACTGGTGTAAAATCCTTGCTCTATTCATTTGCCATACCTTTGCTATTCTGGTGGGGTAGTGCATCGCAGGACAAAACAGGGAGAGAATGTTTGAGAATGTACCTATGCACAGGGAGAATATGCAAATACAACCTGGGGGGGCACTTTTCTTTTCTTTTTTTTTACGGATTTTGGTAAAAACAAAATGTCAAAGTGTGAAGGTATACATGAAAGAAAACCTCTAGTAGTGAGCAGGGGCGCCACCAGGAATTTGGGGCCCCATGAAGGATATTGATGTTGGGCCCCACACAGAAAAAATATATGTATGCTTTTAAACTTCTATTAAGAGGCATTGATTTGTTTAATTTAGGGCTGCAACAACGAATCGATAAAATCGCTAAAAATCGACTTTTAAAAGCGTTGGCAACGAATTTCATCATCGATTAGTTGTGTCGCGCGATTATTGCATCATCCGCCGCGCCGTCATCACTGCCTCTTGACTGAAAGAGGAAGAAAAAAAATACGGCAGAGCGAGCCAGCGCCGCAGGTGCAGTGTTGCCAACTCAGCGACTTTTCAGACCCCTCCAGCGACTATTTTTCAAAAAAGCAACTAGCGACAAATCTGGCGACTTTTGGAGACTCTTACGTGAAAGCATGTATCGTTCCTACTCTGCCGTGGGGCGCCTCCCCCCGCTCCCGCAGGAGTCCCTCTCAGCGCTGCAGTCAGAGCCTCAGCGTCCAGACTGCAAATGAAGCGCGCACGCACCGGGATTGGCGGCGCAAATTGATCAGAATAATTAAAATAGCCTGCGCTTTGTAAAGGGAAAAAAGTGATAACATGCAACTTTTGTCAAAAGAAATTAACATGGCACGGAACCACCATGTTTGTTTGGTTTTAAAGTGGGGAAACGTAACGTTAGTTTCTCAGGTAGCTCATCTGATGCTTTCCTTACCGTGTTAGTAGGTTACAGACAGTGATAAGGTTGGCTACTTATTTTACTTTTAATTTCATTTGAATTAGCTTAAGCAGCATTTACATTTACTTTATAAATAAATTAACTTGCAAATTATGAGGGCAAGGCTTTTAAAGTTTAAATCTTCTGGCAAAGATAAAGTAAAGAGGATCCTGCAATTTATGGAAGTAAAGCAGAATAAAATCCAGCAAGATCAGTAATATGTCAATTAATTATCTGCCACATTCCCATGTAAATATCTGTCTTTGGAGGATGTGTTTTTTAGCACCCCTAGTTCTCTCATTTTTATTCCAAATACAATTTATAATTTGAATCACAGGGCTATTTTTATCTCTATGGTTAAGTATTTTCTCAAGTAGCAACTTTAACTGCTATACTTTCCTGTCTTAAAAGGCAGAACTCTTCTAGTCTAAAAAAAACTCATTTGTTGAAATGAGGGACCTATTGTTTGAACCCCTTAGGGGCTTTTAAAAACAAAAATGTCTTTTTTTGCGCTTTATGAAACAAAGTACCCTATATTTTGTGGATGTACAGCTACATTTCTCATGTAAGTTTGCGTAGTTTTAACAAACATTTATTTTTCATATTGCACCAGTACAGTTAATGAGCAACCTGTACTTGTGTGCTTGTTTGTTCTGTCTAAAATGTTTATTTTGGAATAAAGAGGTTAATATAAAAAATATTTTTTGTCCGATTCATCGATTAATCGAAAAAATAATCGTCCGATTCATTGATTTTTAAAATAATCGTTAGTTGCAGACCTAGTTTAATTCCTGCAGGAGAATAAGCAGCTCTTTAAGCCCCAGTACAGCCGGTTACAGCTAGAGAGACCTGATGTCATGCAGGACGGGGGTTTTGGTGAATATATTCATGCTTTCTTTCACTGCTTACTGCCTAAAAATGAGGGAGAACACAAAATAATTTATTTCACTGCTGTATTTTCTTTTTAAATTTGCCTACTTAAAAAGAGATTGGAAATACTTATGGGCACTTCATGAAACTAAGAATGTCATTTTCTTATTTTTTCATATGATCCAGCATATAAAAAAACCTGTGACTCAGATCATAATATGGTTGCAGCAAAGATTTCCTTTTAGTCTTGCTGTGCTGCTGGAGCACATCCATATTCCCGTTTCAAGGTACATGATCAAACAAATCCTAATTGCTTGTTGCCAACTGAAGAAGGCTGTTTTTATTTCTCCATTAGAGAGCAATAGTGTGTCACAGCATAAGTAATAGAGTCAGTGCTTCGCTGTTCCTCATGTCGACCCTCAGTCTGACGATGTAAAGTGATGCATATGAAGCTCTACCCCTGCAGTGTGTTGTCTTATTTCTCTCAGAGCCGGTAGCAGGGCTGCCTTTGGCTTGCTTAGGAAGGGGGGTTGAGGGGTGGAGCGTTGAACTGGAGCACAGTTCTGAGCCATAGGCAGAAATACCATGTCTAAGTAGGACATGTCAAAAAAAATGGGGCTGCTGGTGGATGGACGCAGAACTTTGAGAACTGATAAGAGGAAGTGATTTTAGATGACAGTGACATATTGCTGATTGTTACTTTATGTCTGGTGTAGCTTTGACAGACCGTGTTATTCATAGAGCAGGGTCATTAGCTGCCACTGTTTCTGTGCCACGTTTCTCCAGTGAGACATTAAGTTACAGTAGCGGTACCCATTTCATTCATGCAACCTTTTTAGTTTAAAGCATTTTACGCTCTAAAGCAGAGAGATGTCTCTTGTTTAAAGTCGTAGGGAAGTCATATTTAAATGCCAAATCATTCTGGCTTAAACATGTATATAAATGTACTCTTTATCAGAAGATATTGTCCCAAAAGGGCTCAAACATGTACGGCTGGAAGCCTTCTACACCAAACCAAGCTTCTGCCGCCCTGGCGTCCTCTTCCACAACAACTTCGTCTCCGCTTTCCTCCTCTAAATAAAAAATGGATGACGGAGGAGACTCATCCACGACCTCCGACACTAAACTTTCCTCCTCTTGCATGTTTCCGCTGTCCATGGCGTTCCTTGACAGTGTCGTTTCTAAGTCACCAATTTAGTGCTACTTGGTCCCAATGGAATTTCCCATTGGGAAACTACTAGCACTAAGCTGCTAACTGGTTAGCAAGATGCTTCCGACAAACCGGCTACAACCAAACTTGCTTGTGAACCTTCCACCACAACAATCCCGCCCCCTTGATAAACAACCAATCACATTCACTTTATTCAAGCGTGTAAAGTCGTGCACCACCTGGAGAATTCGGAAATGCAACGGTTGGAACAGGCGCTTCCCTACGACTTTAAGTTACAGTGGCGGCGCCCAATTCATGTATGCGACCTTTTGAGTTTAAAGCAGTTTACGCACTACAGCAGATAGTTTTCTGTGTATTTCTCTTTACATGCATCATTATATTTAATAAAACAATTGTTAGTAATAAAAAAACTAACTATGTTGCTCTATTTCTTTTTTATTCAAACCCTCGTTGATGTAATTGCCTTCTCTTTTTACTACAGGAAACCAATGAAATTGTTGCTATTAAGAAATTCAAAGACAGTGAAGGTAAGATGTTTCAGTCCCTCCTCTTTGTTTTATTTGGCTTTAATGGCCTACTTATCCTTTGCATTGTAGCTCTGCTTTAACAGCAGATTTATTTCCTCTCGTTCCTTCCCTGATGCAGAAAATGAAGAGGTTAAAGAAACAACGCTACGGGAGCTTAAGATGCTCCGTACCCTCAAGCAGGAGAATATCGTTGAGCTCAAAGAGGCCTTCCGCAGAAGAGGGAAGCTGTATCTGGTCTTTGAGTATGTGGAGAAGGTAAGTTTCTGCTAATTAAACACAGATTTTATATGTAAAGGCCCATCTAATCTGTCCTGATGTCTTTATTGCTCTATGTCAGAACATGCTTGAGCTACTCGAGGAGTTACCCACCGGTGTCCCGACCGACAAAGTGCGCAGCTACATCTTCCAGTTGATCAAAGCCATTCACTGGTGCCATAAGCATGACATTGTTCACAGAGGTAAACATTACACTTCATTTAGACTCCAAACAGAGGATAAGAGGTTGACCCTGCCAGCTAAAGACCCTCCAGGCTGAAAGATGCTCCTAAAAGCAAGCTGCTCATTTTAGAGCAGATTGTATTTTCTCAGTGCGGTCTAGTTTGAAAAGGTTAGCTGATTATGGCGGCGTTCACAAACGAAGCCTTTGGTGAATCCCTGGCAGCAGATCAGGAAACCAGATGGCCCATGTGAGCCTTTGGCACAATTAAGTAACAGAAAAGGCATCCAAAGGCCTGTAGTTTACCCAGACTGCAATCTGTGCATTTTTACTTGCAGAATTTTTAACAATAACATTAAAAAAAATGCAATTTTTCTTTTGAAAGAGACACTTCTGTGATGGCAGAAGCAATGTTTTAATGTGAAAATCCCCACCAGCTTACGCCTGGTCTGTTTTCTTTCTCTGCAGACATAAAGCCAGAAAATCTCCTCATCAGTTCTGATGACGTCCTCAAGCTGTGTGACTTTGGTGAGACCTTTTGTTAAATCCTCACGTTGGTGCAGCTGCACGAAAGGTTGCCAAACAGTCAGAGCTGTGATATAAAAAGGCGTACTTTCAACAGAAACTATATTTGGCTGATATCAGTTCTTGAGGAGTTCAGGCAAGCTTGATCTGGTTATCTAAAGCTCTGCATGCAACCCTCTCTGTTGCCTCTCACTCTGCTACGCTGCTTTCTTCACTCATCTCAATTAATGAAACATGTTGGGAAACAAGCACCTAATCAAGCTTTGATTGAGTCTCGTGGCACCACAACAAGCGCGAGGCGGGGGGGGATGTATAACGTAGTGAATCTGACACGAGGCAGGCAATCTGGAGTGAGAGACTGAAGGCCTGCTGTTTGCTCTGTGTCAGCCAAAGGCATTGAGTGAACAGACATAGGGCAAACAGTCTCCGCTGCGAAAGGTTCATGTTTGGGCGCGTGTTCTCCTGCGGTGTGTCATTTTCATCGTGTGTTGTTTTGATTGTGGAAGAGACCAGCAAGCCTCCAGAAAGCTGTTGCCAATTCCTCAGGAAGGAAAATATCTGCTAGTCACTTGAACACCTCATCATTCAACGTGCGTAATTGGAAGGGATGCGTTGTGTATTGAAGAGACAAAACAAAAAAAACATGTTTTGAAGTATACACTGCAAAAAAATAAAATCTAAATAAGTCCTTTTTTTCTTAAAATCAGTGTATTTTTTCTTGAAATAAGGATTGAAGTGAGACACTTTGCCAATGGAACAAGATAATTTACACTTTGTCTTATTTCAAGTGCATAATATCTAGATAGCTTATTTTAAGAGTAAAAACACTAACTCCATTAGCAAATCGTCTTATTAACCTGCTCAAATTAAGGGCAAATACACTTAATTTAAGACATTTTTACTCATTTTGAGATCGTTTTTGCAGTGTAATCGAACTTTCCTTCTGTAGAGTGCTGATTTTTGTTACACTGGAAAAACGATATAGAAATAAGTAAAAAATGTCTTAAATTAAATGTATTTACTCTTAATTTGAGTAGGTAAATGAGATAGTTTGCTAAAGGCATGAGTATTTTTACTCTTAAAATAAGATAACATGCACTTGAAACAAGACAATGTAATTGCGTTTTCTTATTTTAAGTGTAAATTGTCTTGTTCCATTGGCAAAATGTCTCTTTTAACTCCTTAATCCAAGAACAAATGCACTTATTTTAAGAAAAAAATGACTTATCTAGATTTAGATTTTTTTCCAGTGTAAATGTCTATTTCCGACCATCCTCCACTTCCTTAGTTTGACCCAGCAAAGGTCTGCGAATGTCCTTATTTGGTTATATAGTCTTTAGATTTAGTTTGTATATTAGGCCTTCTATCAACAGAGGTCCCAGATTGATGCCAGCCTATTTGCATCAATCCAACCCTTTCTGCTCAAAAATGTATGAATACATACTTACAAGAAAAATATTGTTAGTTTGAATTCTGTGGTAAAATGTCTTCAATGAGACCAAAATGGGAAACTCTTGTTTTTAGGGATAATCCCTCCGATTAAAGTTGATCCTGATTTAGATTCTGATTCCAGAAACGTCTGTGTAGCCAATAACTAGACTGGCACAGTATTGACTTAATAAGGTCTAATGAAAGTTTTTGATAATAATAGACAAAAGCGGAGTTGAAGGGAAACAGGTAGCACACTTTAAAAGGCAAATGACAGCTGTTCCAGCTGATGAATGACTGAACAGGCTGATAGATATAATAAAATGTAATCTTGTGCAAAAAGTAGAATCTCATGGAAATTGCTTATTTGGGCTGAATTTAGTTGTCTGTGAGGTATTCTGTCCCCTACCAACTCCTGTATTCGCCATTACCTGGTTGTCTATGGAGGGCTCTTTTCTCCACAATGAACATTAAGTAGCTCATGAGAAAGATGCACAACCACTAAAGTACTTCAAAAAAATGCAACACAACACCCTAACAAATTGAATGAATCTGGAGAGCAACTTCCCTGCAGGTTTTGTCAGCACACAATGGACTGGATGTGTAAGAATGCACATAATGACCACTTTCAGTCAAAGTGTCACATCGGAACAAGGATGAAGCTAGTTAGGAGGAGCGAAACAAGCCTGCAGACATTTAGCTACTTTAAAGGGGTCATAGAATGATTCTATAGGGTATGTGGTGCTGGTCCTTAAGGTCTCTGAATAGGGTGTGTAACACTGGTTGGTCTGAAAATGGTATATTCTTTTCTATTAACCCTAATGCAAGCCTGGTTATAAGCCCTAGAATAAAACGACATGTTTTCTTCCTTTTATGGTATGATCATGAATATTTAGACGAGCTGTGCGCTGATTGGTTGGTTTACAACGAGTGAAGTAAAGACGCATCATAGCAACAAGCACTCACTCACTGAAACATCAAATTGTTGATATGGTAGGGTGACCAGACATCCCCTTTTTCCTGGACATGTCCTACTTTTCATACCTAAAAAAATGTCCTGGGGGAATTTCAAAATCGTTCGGGATTTTGTTCGACTAAAGTGCAGCATGTAGTCGAGTTCTGGTCCTGGTAGCCTGGATACAGGCGGCCCCATGCTTCCCCCCGCCTGCCTTACCAGCCCCCAGCTCCCCTCCTCTGGCTGAGGACGGGCAATGGCTCTCTGCTGAGGTCCGGTCTAGTCAGCAGCCCAGCAGTCGACACGTCATACCAAATAAGGCAAAATTCCATAGTTTACGTCAGTTCGGCGCTTCGTTTGAATTTGCCCGTTTTATGATGGAAGTTTAGAATTGTGAGATTTGCAGAGAAAGGAGGTGTTGATTGGGTTTTACCTTCTCTGTTCATCCATTTCACCCATTGAACTATCGTTATTCATCTATGACAATGGAAGCTCAGTTTTGCATTCTATGACACCTTTAAGCAAGGTGTGCGTTTATTGAAGATTTTGTTACCTTGTGTGTGGAATCAGACATTAATTTAGAAAAAAGGACAAAGCTTTTCTCCATTTTGGATTCAGGGCTCAGATGGGGCATTTTTCTACAGTAACACGACATAATCTAAGCCTTTTACATCGTGGCTCTCACTGCTCCCAAAGCTAAAATCCCTTGCAGGGAAAAAACAAAACAACATCCCCACAACATGATGCTGCCACCACCATGTTCTACCCTGTGGATCGTGTTTCTAAAGAGCTGCAGTAGCATTTCGCCCTATACAGCGCTTATATGTGCACACCGAAATGTTACATTTTGGCTTCATCTGACCAGAACAGCAACTTCTACATATATTGAATTCAATTCAATTCAGTTTATTTCTATAGCGCCAATTCACAACACATGTCATCTCAAGGCACTTTACAGTTCAACCAGATCATCCAGTCAAATTGATTCAAAGTTTTCTATCCAAGGAAAACCAGTTGATTGCATTGACTCATTGACTTGAATGCAATTCCTCACACCAAGCATGCTTGTAGCGACAGTGGAGAGAAAAAAACTCCCTTTTAACAGGAAGAAACCTCCAGCAGAACCAGGCTCAGTGTGAGCGGCCATCTGCTGAGGCCGACTGGGGTTCAAGGAGACAGAAGCAGAGATACAAAAAGCAACTGTAAAAGGCGGCCCCGTCCAGGAAACACACAGCCAGGGATACGAGCCAGCTCGCATATCAGAGGATGAAGAGAGCACATCCAGCCAGTCATGGTCAGAGAGACAGGACTACAATGAAAAACAGGCCGATCTACAGCATCTATAAACAAGGCACAGCTGATATTTCTCTTGCGGATGGAGTCACAGCCAAACAGGAACAGACGAGGCGAAGCTACTATGAGAAAAAGCAGAGAGAGCAGAACGTTAGAGTTTGAACTAACAGATTCTGCAGAATAGGAGAACAGAGAGAGAATGAAGCAGAATTATAAAATAGGGGTCCCTATGTCCTCCAGCAGTCTAAGCCTATAGCAGCATAACTATAGATATAACTCAGGATATTGAGTTTCTTGCGAAGCTAAAAGCTGGTCTTATACCAGCTAACTGTCGGTTTTTTAACTTATGACACTCGAGACAGGTGGGATTTATTGAGCAATCAACTCAATTCCATCTCCCTTCTAAGCTGCAGCTCTCCTCAAGCTATCCCTCCATGCTTTTTGGTTACTTCTGGTGGAGTGAAGGAAAATTCTGGTCTTAGATGGTTGCACCAGGACTTATTTCAGGGCACCAAAGTCTAGGGGGTTGGATATAAATAAAGAATCACCTCAGGTGTTTATTTGAGTGTAATGAATATTAAAAATCGTGGTTGTGCTACCCCTTGTTAAAAAACTATACACTACTCTGTTTTGGTCCACCGTATAAAAGCCAAAAAAAATACTTTAAAGTTTCTGTGTATAAAATGATATAATGTTGAAATATGTATAGGCCAACCAGGCACAGTACCTCTCAATCTTCTTAATTTTTATAAAACACTGAAGCGAGTTGCCGGAATTAATGAGAAAGAAACAGATTTTGTGTCGTTTTTAGGGCCCTCTCTGTGTTTAAAGCATGTTTAAGTCTTCCTTTATGACTTTGCTCATCACGTCTTCACTTTGCAGGTTTTGCACGTAATCTGTCTGAAGGGACTGATGCCAATTACACGGAGTACGTGGCGACTCGATGGTACCGCTCTCCAGAGCTCCTGCTCGGGTACGCCTGCCGTCTCATTAGCTGTGTTCAGCGATCTAGTCAGAGCACCGACATCTCGTTTGATTAGCCCTTGTTATGTCATGCCTTCGTTACCAACCCCTTAAATCCATGGTGGCAGGGCTCCTTACGGGAAGGCGGTGGACATGTGGTCAGTGGGCTGCATCTTAGGAGAGCTGAGTGACGGGCAGCCCCTGTTCCCAGGAGAGAGCGAGATCGACCAGCTCTTCACCATCCAGAAGGTGTTGGGACCCCTGCCTCCAGAGCAGATGAAGCTCTTCTATAACAACCCTCGCTTCCACGGGCTGAGGGTAACATCACACTCTTTACTGCAAACCTAAACCCGTCAACCTCAAGTTTTATTTTGACCTTCATTTTCCCCTCCATTTTTTTATTTTTCCTTCCCTGCTATGTCTCTACCCTCTCTCCTTTTTCTTCTTCCTCCGGCTGAGTTTCTGTGCCGTGACTGATTGGATCACAATGACTCATCGTGTATCATGTATCCTGTATGCACTGTGAAGGAAGACTGTGATAAGTCTTATGTGGCAGGATGGTGGTTCATCAAACCTCTGTTGTTCTTTCCTTCTCTTCCCTGTTGAAAATGATGATTCTTTTAATTAGTTTGCAAACAGCACCTTTAAAAAAAGTGATATTTTTCCTAAAGGTCACACCTGAAAATTACGCCATCTTTTATTTTAATTTCAGCCCATAAATACATGAGTTGCTTTTCCTCTCCCCTGTAAGACAGGCTTGTGTTTAAAGTTAAGATCCAGCATCATTAGTGCTGTCTGCATGAGAGAAAGCCCACCCACACACATCAGTCTGTAAAGCTTAACTAGTGGACATTCTCTCAAAGTCCAATTATCTTAGCGACATGAGATCAAGAACACCCAAAAATGAAATTGCTTATCACTCAAAGTGTTTGTAAAATAATTTTTCAAAATCAAGAAACACAAGATGTTTGATTGATGCTGCCGTTGCAGCTGCCTGAGAATAATTTCCATGCCAGTAAACTTATTAGAAAAGTGTAAAAGTGTTCACCTAAACCTTTTCACATTTTGTCACTTTGGAACCACAAACCTGGAGGAGGTGACACATTTGTTGACATAATGACTGTTGTTTATGCATTCAAATGAGTCTGACCTTTACTGTTGGAGTAATAAGAAAAAGCCATTCTTCAAACTACGTAGTTAAAAATATGCTGCACAATTTTATAAACTTTGAAACCTACCTGGGTTGAAGTTGAGGGAAATTTTGGATTAGGATTTAAAAACAGAGGGAAACCTTTTCTGCAGAGAGGAGGCCCTGGATCATCTCAGCGGCTCCTCTTTCCTGGGCTCTCTCTCTCTCTGGTTGCCTGATAACAAAAATGAACACAAAGCCACAAACAAGCTCAGTTTCCTCTGGTTTCCTCCAGTCCTTGTTCGTCTGATACAACAGGGAACTACTTTATTGGTTCTGTGCCTCGTACCCATACGCCTGTTTAGACAGCCGTTAGCAGATACGGATTCTGCAGCCTTTCCAAACTGTTTGTTTACATTTTCAGTGGAGAGCGTTCCAGAAATATCACCAGCAGGAGCCGTTTTAGTCCTTCCAGATCCCACATTCTTCCATGAGATTAGTGATGAGGGGAACTGGGCTGCTGATTTTAGTTTACAGGCAGGAATAAATCATTACTGTGCATTTAGTAACCATCATCTACATGAGCTATTTATTTATGCACCTTGATAATCGGTGAGTCTAGATAATCTCATGTTTGTGGATTTAAATATAATTCACCTGTGTTTGTAATTATTTGATTTGTTCAGTTTGATTTTTATACATATGTGTGAATCTGAGTTTAGGTTCAGGTTTTAGCATCTACACTGGAAAAAGGATCTAGAAATAAGTAAAATTCCTCAAATTAACTTTATTAACCCTTAACTTGAGTAGGAAAATGAGATAGTTTGCCAAGGGAATGAGTATTTTTACTCTTAAAATAAGATAATTAGATAACATACAATTGAAATAAGTGCAATTTCTCTTCCTATTTTAAATGTAAATTGTCTTGTTCCAATGGCAAAATATCTCTTTTACCTGCTTAATCCAACAACAAATGCACTTATTTAGAGAAAAAAAAACTTATCTAGATTTCAATTTTTTCCAGTACAATGAACCCTCGTTTATCGCGGGGGTTACGTTCCAAAAAGAACCCGCGATAGGTGAAATCCGTGAAGTAGAAACCTTTATTTTTTTACAGTTATCATACAATGAAATACACCATACAACATTGAAATCGAGGAACAAAAACTTTTTACAGGCCCAAGCATTTGTTTAACAAATAAAAGTAAAATAATATAGTTATAAATAAATAAGTTATAATTTTAATCATCAATACGAAATGAAGGGTTAATATTGCGGGGATCAGCACCGCCCCGCCGTGACGGATTGGAACGGGAGAAAATGAAAAATGATTATGAAAATAAATACAAAGTACAGTAGGACAAATAGTGACTGACGTGTACAGTACAGTATTTCACTGCTGTTTGATAGAAACGCTGCATCCTGATTGCTCTGTGGCGTTTTTTTCTTCTAAAGCCTGCGGTGCAGGTGTGTGTTTTGGAGAGAAGAACATAGTTATCGGTAGTTGTTGTCGCTCTTTTTTCTTCTGGGCCAAAAGATCCTTATAAACCGACATGCCACCATTAATATGTTTGACAATAAAGTTTAACAATGCATGATGCAAATCTGTGAAGCAGCGAGACCGTGAAAAGTAGGCTCGGTATCGGATCGGGACGCCGATATTGGCAAAAAAATGCGTATCGGCAAAGCATGTAAAACGCCAATCCAGACTGCCGATCCAGTTTTTTAAAAAAATCCGGTCCGTATTTTCCAGTTTCGCCGATTGAAACGATCCATTCCACTTTTTTGCGCCAGTGTTTCCCTGTTTTGCATTTTTATTAAAACTTACAGTAATACTTGCACCTTAAACTGTTTACGGTTTTACTGTTCACTGTGCAATTTCAGATTGCTATTCATAATTTTGTCCAGTTTGTGTTTATCTCTTAATAAACAGGAAAGTTTGTTGTTACCAAGCATTGTGTTTTATTCAATCTCACCTAATTCAGCTGGCTAGATGTTATCAAGAGTACTAAAACCCTTTTCAACATGAGTCTTACAACTAAGGCTAAATACTTAAACTTAAATACATGCTCGGATAGGCTGGTATCGGCCAGTATCGGTATCGGATCGGAAGTCCAAAAACAATATCGGTATCGGATCGGAAGTGCAAAAACCTGGATCGGGACATCTCTAGTGAAAAGTGAACCGCGTTATAGCGAGGGTTCACTGTATATTAAAACTTCAAATGGATTTTATTCTGTTTTTACCAAATGAAGGGCTGCTCAGTGGTGCAGTGGGTAGCACTGCTGCCTTGCAGCAAGAAGGTTCCGGGTTCGGTTTCTGCCTGTTTCTGCAAGTTTGCACGTTCTCCCTGAGCATGCGTGGGTTCTCTCCGGGTACCCCGGCTTCCTCCTACAGTCCAAAAACATGACTGCTAGGTTAATTGGCTTCACTAACTTCTCCTTAGGTGTGAATGGTTGTTTTGTCTCTGTGTTGCCCTATGATGGACTGGTGACCTGTCCAGGGTTTACCCCGCGTCTCGGCGGTAGACAGCCGAAAATAGGCATCAGCACCCCTCATGACACCGCTTGGTATAAGCATGATGGAAAATGGATGGATTTTTACCAAATGGATAGAAAATTTTCACACACTCTGTTAGTTCACTCTCTTTAGTTATTGATTAGGGTGCTTGGCTTTAAAAAGAGACTGGATTATTCAGCCAGTGTTTAAAATGACCAAACCCTGATATCTTTCTGCTAATATCTTAGTTCCCTGCTGTGAACCATCCGCAAACGTTGGAGCGAAGGTACCTGGGGATCATCGGTGGAGGTCTGCTCGATCTGTTGAAGGTACGAATCAAACATCCGCTCCGCCTTTCCTAATTCATTCCATTCTCCTCTCTGCCACATCCTGGTGATTCCTCCTGAAAAACATCAGGAAAAACCAAAGAATCAGAGTTTCATTGATGGCATCTAATAACCAGAACCTTGTGCTGGTGTTTACTTCGTGACTGCATGATGCCTCCTCGCTGCTCCGGCATCTCTCAGCTCATATCGTGGTTCCAGCTCCACTGTTATTTGCTGCGTCTGCACTGTAAACAGGAGCTCCATGTCAAGAATGTGGGCTGAGCTTTTTTTCACTTGCGCTTTTTCTCCTGCAGATAATGACTCACGGCTAACACTCTGACACCCTAGGAGTGACTTCACAGAGGACACACATCACCCTCATTAGTAATCAGCCTTCAGAGAAGCCATCAAACATTCATTGGACAAACTATCTTTACTGATTTCTGCTGCCATAGCTGCACGGCTCACAATCCATTTACTTCTCTTCATCTGTCTTTGGAAGAAATGAAAAAGCAGCTGCTGTGGGTTTTAGTTCTGTGAAACCAAAACAAAGCGATGCTCTGAGTTCACGAACAGTCCTCACGTCACTGAGGTTATTTTGAGATACCGGATTCAGCTTTGATTAAAGACTAAGGAGATTATTAAACATAATAATCCCACTAACAGGAAAGGAAAATGTCATTAATCATGTATTGCTTCGATGTTTGCCCTGCTGACTGTAAGATGCAGCCGCAGCATTACATGATAATGTAGATGAGTCAGAACAGCTTGACTGGATGTTTTCAGCTTGTCTGTGAGGTCTGGATGTGCAGAGTGTTTGAAGGACTCCTTCTGCTCCCTCTTTCCTTGCATCAGAACCTGCTGCTGCTCAACCCGACAGAGCGCTTCCTCACAGAGCAGTGCCTGAACCATCACGCCTTCCAGACCCTGCGCCTGGTGGAACGGCCCGGCCCGCCCACGCCCACGCCCGTACGCTCGGCCAAGAGAAAGCCTCACCACGGGGACAACACCACCCCCAGCAGGTCAGCAGGGGGCGCTGTAGTTGCTTTTAAACGGGTCCCCATCTCCCTGGTGTTTAGGTCCATTAACTGATGCTATTCTCTTTGTTTGGAACGTTTTCTCTTTAATACAACTTTCATATCCCAAACTAGCTTCTTATTCCATCATGAAAACATTTTACAAGACCGTGATACATTTTTAATACACCTCAAACTCCTGCCCCTTTTTTCCTACATTTTAACCACAAAACTTTATGTAATCATTGGGGAATTTTAAGTCCTAGATCAAGATCATGTTAATATCCTGTATGATGATAACCCTGCTAAATAAGGGCTCTTTTTAGTTTTTTTACTATTTGAGCCGATGTAACCAGTAAATTTCTCCAGATCAATAAAGTCAATCAATCAATCAAGAGTTTCAAATATTCAGTGCTGTTAATTCTGCCCACTTCGCTCCGACAGCAGTAAATGAAAATAAAAGGGAATGGCATCAACTGCCTGCAAAATCGGCCATTTTTTTAAAGTGCAATTCATTTTTTTCTTCATTTTAAAACCTGAAATTTTAAATGGCATGGGATTATTTAAGAAAAGGGGATATTTTTGGAACATGTTATATTTAAGTTATTTTTTGGCTTTAAACGAGTTTTATTAGCTGGACTGAATATAGAAATGGCTCTTTGTGTTGTAAAGGTGGCACATCCATGTTTTTTTTCTGTTTTCCTGCAGGAGCCATGGAGGGAAGAGCTCAGGAAGCCACCGATCCAGCAGCAGAGAGTGCTCCAGCTTACCCCGACAGGAGGACGTCCTCCCGGGCAGCGACAGCTTTCTGAACGGCAACATGGCGGCAGCCATCAACCTCAGTCCCACTCTGCATCCCAAGAACTACCAGCCGCAGATCTTCAACCACTCCACCGCCTACAGCATGGACCTGGCCGGCAGCAACCTGCCTCACCTGCTAAGCCCCGGTGAGGCCAAGGGCAAAGGCGACTTTGAGATGAGCTTGGGTGCCAAGCTACTGGACGGACCCGGTGCCAAGTACCTCAAATCCAACTTCCGCTCACAGCAGAACCGACACTCTTTTGTGGAAGGGAAGACCAACACCCTGCAGTCGGGGGAAAAACACAGCCGACACAACTACATAGAGTCCCACGGCTCCACGCCCTCCTCCAAGTTTGCCTACCTGAACTTGTCGAAGAGTTACGGCATGCTCAGCGACGCCAAGTCGGTGGGAAACCTAAATGATGTGCATCTGTATGCGGATGAGCCAACATCACGCTACTTACCGTCTAGCTGCCTCGACCTGACGGCCCCGAGCAGCCCAGCGTCCCGCAGGGTGGAGAGGTTGGGCCCCGGGACGGCTGGCCGAGGAGGGATGCGCTCAGACAGAGAGAGCAACACCCTGGACTCCTCATACAGGCGCTCCTCCACCCGCCATAAGGCGTCAGAAGAGGCCAAGTCACCGGATTCCCTGGACCCCGGAGATAGCAGCATGGATAGGAGCCACGGTCACTCTCTGTCTGCTCCGCATGATCCTCTCCCTTATGGTCAGGGATACACCAGCCCCTTCTCCTCACAGCAGCGGCCGCACCGCCACTCCATGTACGTGCGGAGGGATCACCAGAGGACGCACGGGGGAGAGGAAGGCCTGCTGGTCGGCCAGGGAATCCCCACCAGAGCCAGCAGCCTCCAGCTCCTGTCGCCTCAGCTCCAGCACCGCACGCTGCCGCGCCACTCCGGGAGCTCATCCAGGGAAGACGACATGAGCCGGGTCAGTGATCAGCCCACGACAAACCTCTCTCCATCTTAGGAAAGCCTACACCCACAGAATCGTATCATATCAGATGCCTACACCAGATTGTGTTGGATACCTCTGCCTCAGCCAGCATTTATTCCTGCAGCATCTGAGGATATCAGGATGTGTCCTGAGAAGTAAAGCTGGTTCTAATGACCCACTTAATACTACCAGCAAAGCAATTCAAATCTAAAAACATCACATGTTTGGCTTTGTGGTTAGGATGTGTGGTGAATCATGCTATCTGGGTATTTATGCACACAAATAGCATAAAAGGCTTGTGCTTGTGTTTTTGCCTGTATGTGCTGTGATGCTGAACTCTCTTCATGCTGCACCATGTCTCCATCGACAGAGCGAGCAGGCTCCCACTGAAGTCCCCCACAGCAGACCCCCAATAAGGGACTCCACCAGGGACAACACTGCATCTTTTCACTCACAGCGGCAAATAAGCGAGGTCCGACATTCTGCTTGCACCCACCATTCCCCACCCACATCCAGCCTTCCGAGAGAGCGGATGTGGGTGGATGCTGCTGTCATCCTCTCTCTCTCTCTTTCTCTCTCTCTGCATCAGATGCCTCTACTTTCTCTGTGTGCTTTGCTTCCATCTAATGTGACTCCTTATGATAGCGCAGTTAAGTTCATCACTGCAGCTGTTTTATTTTAGCCAGTGACTGCAGGTTAAAAACTCCCCCACATGGTTTTCCATTCTTTCGGGTAAAATTGAATAAAAAAGCTAATGTTTCTGATAAGAAGCATGCCCAGCGTTCCCCATCTAAGTCTTCATATGTGAACAGTCGTTCTGCTGTCACTCAGGTTGGCCTATATCATGACCAACAAGCAGAAGACGGAGGTTCCTCCAAGGAGAACCGCAACATCTACAGTGAGTCCATGCCGAGGAGGGTGGGCAGCTTCTACAGAGGTGGGTTTACTACAGATTTCTAGTATCAATGCAGCATCGAGGCTGAAAATGCAGTTTAGATCTAGAGCACTTTGAGATTTTTTTCCTATTTAACAAAGTTTCACCTCCCCACTATATTTTTAAGGCCTTTTACTAAGATATGTGTTCTAATCTTTATTGTTTTATTTATGCAATAAACCAACACACCACTGCATTGAAGATGCATTAAAACATTATAATACTCATTGAGTGTGATGTTTTGTGTTCTGCCCCCATAATTGGATGCCTGTTAATAAAACCCAGTCAATTCAGCTGCTTTCACAAGTTACTGTGAGGAAAATATGAATTAAACACCCTGCTATTTTGCAAGTTCTTAGGTAATACACTAAGACATTATGGTTTGAAATCATGCTTGGCATGGAAGATTCACCTTCTTAAACCACATGTCAAGGCCTGTCTTAAGTTTGCCAATGATCCAGAGTCATGGGAGAAAGTCATGTGGTCAGATGAGACCAAAATCAAACTTTTTGGTCATAATTCCACTAAACATGTTTGGAGGAAGAAGAATGATGAGAACCATCCCTACTGTGAAGCATGGGGGCGGTAGCATCATGCTTTGGGGGTGTTTTTCTGCACATGGGGACAGGGCGACTGTATTAAGGAGAGGATGATGGGGGCCATATCTTGCCAGATGTTAGGGAACAACCTCCTTCCTTCATTTAGAGCAATGAAGATGGGTCGAGGCTGGGTCTTCCAACATGACACACAGGCAGGATAACCAAGGATTGCTCTGGAAGAAGCAAATCAAGGTTCTGGTCTGCAGACCTGAACCCAATGGAGAATCTTTGGAGGGAGCTCAAACTCCGTGTTTCTCAGCGACAGCCCAGAAACCAGATTGATCTGGAGAAGATCTGTGTGGAGGAGTGGGCCAAAATCCCTCCTGCAGTGTGTGCAAACCTGGTGGAAAACTACAGGAAACGTTTGACCTCTGTAGTTGCAAACTTAGGCTACTATACCAAATATTAACATTGATTTTCTCAGATGTTCCAATACTTATTTGCAATCATACAAATAAATAGTTTTAAAAAAATCATATATTGTGATTTCTGGATTTTTTTTTTAGATTATGTGTCTCACAGTGGACATGCACCTAGGTATGCACCTACAGTATACCTAGAATTTCAGAGTAAGTGGGAGAAGTTGCAAAATAGTAGGGTGTTCAAATACTTATTTTCCTCAGTGTAAGTAATTAATGGCCTTTTGGGAATTGATTATCAATAATCAAATTTTAGCTGTGCTCTCCACTAGTTCAAAGCAATTAAATCAGTCTTTAGGAGAAAATATGGGCAGGAATGTTCGCCATCATAGACTATATGTTGAATTGTTTGACTGAATCTGAATTACAGAGCCTAGGAAGTGTTGGTGGGTTAAAAAAAATAAAATAAAAATTATATTCCAGATAAAGTAAATGCAGATTTAATTTAGTTTCTATCATAATTTTCCACCTGTGTAGAAACAACCTGCCTCCTGTGTTCTTTCAAAGTAAAAACAATTGCCCTTTACTACGATAGTTTTTTAACGTGTTGAAAAATAGCCATTACAGCAAGTATCCCATGATTAACAAATAGAAATGTGAGCTTAATTAACAGATAAAAGTACCTCTGTCTAAATCGTAGTTGTGTTTAAAAAAATGACATCTGCTTCTGTTAGTATAATTAGATCATTTTTCTTTGAAGCCTTTTTTTTCCTGCAAGTTCTGCAATGTCTCGTTTTTCTCCTTGATTAAATATAAATTTGTTACTCAGACCATCCAGGACACCTTGGAGTTATTTCCCCTTAGAAACCCCAGCTTAGACTAAAAATGTGTTTATTTTTTCCGATTTATACTTGTTTACCTTTTATTTGCAAACTGTGATAATGGGCAAAATTGTTTTGCTCAGGATTTAACTTTTAAAAAGCAAATGCTATTGGATGGAGGGACAGTGATTCTAATTCGAGGGATTAAGTCATTGTTTGGATTCAGACTTTGAGATTCGAACAGTTTAAGGAACATTTTTAGAACCGTGTTTGGTTTATGGTTGTATCTTTAAAACATGTAGATCTAAGCTATTTGGCAAAATATAGAAAAGATTACATTTCTTTGCAGTTTACCTTAAAATAGTATCTCAGGACAGATGTTTATTTTAAAGGGACAGTTTAATTCATAAAATCAGAAGCATTTATTATTTTATCCTTTTGGTCTTTACTTTCAGCGCGATCAGCTGCAGGATTAAAAACTGGACAGTGGTTATCTTAAAATGCTAGTTGGTATCTGTAAAATTGTTTCTGCAGGCATTTCAATCTGAAAAACTCACAGAGAGAGAAAGATGCAATTAGAAGAGTTTATTGATACGCTAGTTTGAACTTTGGCGCTCAGGCCTCGGCAGGAAACATTTATACTTGATTTATACTTTAATGCAGATAAACTGATGTATGAGAATAAGGATATTCCCCCCGGGCCTGAAACTGGTGGTGGAGTTTAGATAGATGAAGTTTGGTTAATCCATAGAGGCTGGTATACAGGGTGATGCTTGAGTTAGATGTCACTGAATGAACAAAGTTTGCATAAACTGTCCATAAAGAGCAAGCATGAAGCGACTGTGGAGAGAAAAAACTCCCCTTTGGGAAGAAATCTCTGGCAGAACCAGGCTCAACGTGGCGGTCTTCTGCCGGACCGTTTAAAGTGACAGGGAACTCCATGAAAGTCTGGAGGGAGTACACACTGGAGGTGAGGTTGAAGGAGCATCGAGGAGGAGTCGGATGAGCTTACTACAATGGTGGAGAAGGGGATGGAGGTGGGTTGTCTGGATCAAAGTCCGACATAGGAGCGATGGATCTTGCGCTTGTTGAAGAGCAGGCCTAGAGATGATTTGGAGTGGTTTTAAGTAGAGTGCTGGAAGATGATTGGGCAGCGAGGAAAGTGGCTTGAAGCGGGTTGGCTGCGTCAGAGGCGGATCAGCCTCAGATTGAATGGAAGTAATCAGAGTTTCTTCAGTTGAATATCCGCCTTAGCTTCATTTTAGAGGGGGTGTAGCCACTTGTCAGGGTAGCTGTTAAATTGAGATAGCTTTTGAATTTTGACACATTTTTATTTCCTGCAGTGCTCTTTTTTTTATAACGGTTTCTTTTTGTTGGTCAAACAGTGCCATCTCCCCGGCCAGACAAGTCTTTTCACGACGGCAGAGGCCCGGGCCGAGACTCCGGCTTATCTGGCGATGGCAGCAGTTTAACAAATCACTCCAAGCGCCAGCCTGCATTTGACCCCTGGTAATTAGATATTGTTTGACTAAAATCTAACATATACTCTTTATTTGCTGAATAAACAAAAAACATTTACTTAGTTATTTTTTTTTTCTTGGGCCCTGATTGTTTTACATCAACATGAGTTAATTTACTTTTTCCATTGTAAGAACAATTATGTCCCATTTATTTATATCTTCCTCAACTGGTTTGACACAACTTTTAATTTAAAAATGTCTCAGCCGGGACTTCATCCTCTGCCCTCTTTGTTTTATTTTCAGGACTGGCCCAGATACCGTGGTCCTGAATGCATCCGAGCCTTCCAAAGAAAAGGAGAAGCAGGGTTTCTTTAGAGCAATAAAAAAGAAAAAGAAGAAAACTCAGATGGTAGGTCGCCTCAAGAGGTAAAACGCTCTTTTTTTGCATCCTAAACTTGCTTCTACTTCCCGTATTATTGTTTAATCGAGAGGCAGTTTCACAAATGTTTAACTGGTCTTTTGCATCACCTTAAAGTACTGTATCAGAGGAAAGGCTCTGATTAAAGGATCTATGCCATCAAAAAGTATTTTAGCATTTTAGTTTCAATTGGATATTAATAGGATATAGATTTATCAACACAGAGTTAACAGCCTTAAATTTCAGGAGTTGTAAAAATGAATAAGGAACAAAAACATCCATAAACGTTTTCTATAAGTACTGTACTGTATTACTGTCTTTAATCTTTAGGTAGATGTGACACAGTGTTTGCTTTGAATACTAATATGTGACACAAAACATTTTTCCTTAAACGTTTTTTGAATGAGGAAATCCAGGAGAACATTGCATTCACGTAGGTCGAACGTGTTTAATTTAAACAGTTGCGCTACATAAATTGGCTGCTCTCAGATATACCCGTATCTATTCAAATGAGGGTGAGCAGATGTCACAGTTTGTTTGTAAAAGTGCTGCATTTTTCACTTCTATCCCACCGCCCCCCAAACCAAAATAGTGTCCCCCCATTTTAAGGTTTAAAATGAAAAAAAAAAGGCAAAAAATGAATTAAACAGAGCAACAGAGATCGTCGCAGGGCTGCACCATTGCCCTACGCCAGCGGTCCCCAACCTTTTTTGCACCACGGACCGCTATATGTCCGTCAATATTTCCACGGACTGGCCAGGGGGGCGTGGGTGGGGGGGGGAGTCGGGGGGATACGATCAAGTACAATGATACGACTGGCATAAAATCAAATACAAACAGCAAAAAAATAAAACAACAAGCCGGTCCCATCTAGGCTTAATCGGAGAAAATGACACACGAAGTGTGCTCCTGAAGTCCAGTCTGCTCCGTAGCTTTGTTTTGGTCGCTGTAACCGCAGAAAATCCCGCTTCACAAAGATAGGATGTCATAGAGAGGATGAGTCTTGAACTGAATTAACCTGTGTCAAGAGGCACAGATGCACGACTGATGTAATTGTGAGAGAATACCGCAATTTTTTATATTTTTTAAAATAAAACATCACTCAGACTCTGATCGTCGATAAAATATATATATATATATATTTTTTTTTCTTTGCGGCCCGGTACCAGTCCGCGGCCCGGTGGTTCGGGACCGCTGAAACTATGTTTAAAGAAAATAAAATGCAGCCACCATAAAGACTGCAGAAGGTTTTATAACTGGGTGAGACAGAGACAGATGATCCTCAGGGAGCTTTTCTTTTTAAGTTATTTTTCAATTTCATAAGAATGCAGTGTAAAGCATCACTGTTTAAGTCAACAGAAGCAGCTAAAAAGTAACACATGTCCTGTTTAAGCATCCTAGTTGTCCCAAATTAGATTTTTGTAGATCATGTCACTCTACAAGTAGTGAGGATTATGGTGTAGGAGGTATGTCTGCCATGCTCGTGGTTAGAGAAGTGTAGCAGATTGGATGACTTGGCTCACCATGTTTCCTTAATGACCCCCAGAATCATTCAGGATAGCAACATGATGCGTGGGGGTCCTGGTAGGTCTCTTCTACCATCACAGACACAAACCTGTGGAGTTTGCAAAAAACGCCGCAAACTAATTCAATTCTTTTTCATTTCAGTTTATTTATATAGTGCCAATTGGCAACACACGTCATCTCAAGGCCCTTTACAGTTCACCAGATCATACAGTCACATTGATTCAAAGTTTTCTATCTAAGGAAAACCAGTTGATTGCATCGACTCAATGAGTCAAAGGTAATCCCTCACACTAAGCATGCTTGTAGCGACAGTGGAGAGGAAAAACTCCCTTTTAACAGGAAGAAACCTCCAGCAGAACCAGGCTCAGTGTGAGCGGCCATCTGCTGAGGCCCACTGGGGTTCAAGGAGACAGAAGCAGAGAAACAAAAAGCAGCTGTAAATGGCGGCCCTTCCAGGAAACACACAGCCAGGCAGACGAGCTCCAAGCCAGCTCCCATGCCAGATGATAAAGAGAGCACATCCAGCCAGTCACAGTCAGAGAAACAGGACTACACTGAAAAACAGGCCGATCTCCAACATCTATAAACAAGGGTGTTGATGGCAGATGGCTGATAACTTTTGGCAAATAAAATTAGCCTTGAAGTTTTAAAGTTAGAACCACTGTTAGGTTTGGAAGGAAGCAATATGTGGAACAGCAACTTACTCCCCCTATTAGGCATGGTGGAGGTTCAATGATGCTGTGGGACAGTTTCTACTCAGTCTATTTCACTGTTGACTGTGAAATGTGAATGTATCATTTTCACCCACCCATTAGAGTCCACTAGGGGGCCCTGGGGTCATCTGTTGTGAGAGAAATAAACCTAAACCTTTCGGAAATCACTGCATGATTGAAACAGACATAGATTATCAGTCAAATTGGGACCACAGCCTTCCGGAAAAGAACTGTTTGTGTCACAGGGAACATGTCACAAAATAATGATTGTGTTAAGTTTTGAGGCGTAGTCTGTGCCTAAATGTTATATACCGCAAAGATTTATGGGACTTCTCATGACTCCTTAGTGTCAGACAGGAGTTCTAGGCGCTTGCTTTCGCTATATGAACGTCCTGCTTCCTTTTTCTGGCCGTAAAAAACACTTAAATGCTGAAACTGGATGCAAAATCAAATGGTGGTCAATATGCTTTGACACATATGCTGTGGATGCTCTCTGCTCTGGCTCCTAATCTGCTTTGTTCTGTTGTTACAAGCTAGAGAGCAGCTTGGCTCCACTTGCTTTGATGAATTGGAAAAAAACGTTTTAACATTTTTTAAAGCGAGAAAGTCCATAGACTTTTCATGTAAATCCAATTCAATTCCATTCAGTTTATTTATATAGCGCCAATTCACAACACAAGTCATCTCAAGGCTCTTTACAGTTCAACTAGATCATACAGTCAAATTGATTCAAAGTTTTCTATCAAAGGAAAACCAGTTGATTGCATTGACTCATTGACTCAAATGCAATCCCTTACACTAAATCAGATGCTTTGACGCCCAGATCCCATTTAGTGTGAACACATCATTACTCCCAGAACTTTTGGGACAGCACTTATCATGGCGATCGCTGACGCGGTTCACTTTGGCTAAATAGTCTGAGGGTGGCACCAGACACACAGCAGATAAAGAAAACAACAGATGAGATCAAGTTAAAAAAAGGGAGACATCAGATGCTTCAGTCACATTATATGATGGGTCACAGATTCAGTTGCAACACTGGCGGTGTGTGTGTGCATGAGAGGCTGCCCTTAACATGCAGGCGCCAAACAAAGAACAACATCGGCAGGCCTTTGTGTTGCAGTTCTATTTTCTGACTGAATTTATTGTGGATTTTACACCCGTTATGTGTTGCTCCTCCGTTCTCAGGCCACACAAACGCCTTTTAATCTCTTTCTCTGTGTTCATTATTTACAGCCTACTTTACCCTTCTTTCTCCTACCCTCTTTACCTGTGTAGCGCGCCACCCACTGACAATGCATCAGTATTGCATCACCTATTACAGCTTTGATGGCTTCAGGCGGTTTCATCTTTACACTTTTTCTGTGTAGATAGTTTAATGACTTTATGGTTCTAGCTTTAGAAATACCTTTAATCCAACAAATTCTTTATGTCCCACCTCTGACGAAACACTCTTAATTCAAAGGCTGCCCTTTTAAACTGATTTAATTCTCAATCTAGAGGTTTCTAGCTTAAGAAAAAGCATTGTTGTACAAGTTAATGTGCAAGATAAACTTTGATTTTTGGCTCATCCTAAAGAGATTCAGGAGTGCATAGGTTTTGGCTTAGCGTATGTAATTATCAACATAACAACACTAAAGCATAGGATCAAGCTCCGCAAACCATTGACTTGATAACTGTATACAGGTGCTGGTCATAAAATTAGAATATCATGAAAAAGTAGATTGATTTCAGTAATTCCATTTAAAAAGTGAAACTTGTATATTATATTCATACATTACATACAAACTCATATATTTCAGATGTTTATTTTGTTTAATTTTGATGATTACAAATGACAACAAATGAAAATCTCAAATTCATCATATCAGAAAATTAGAATATTACTGAAGACCAATAAAAACAAAGGATTTATAGAAATGTTGGCCAACTGAAAAGTATGAACATGAAAAGTATGAGCATGTACAGCACTCAGTATTTAGTTGGGCCTCCTTTGGCCTGTATTACTGCAGCAATGCGGCGTGGCATGGAGTCGATCAGTCTGTGGCACTGCTCAGGTGTTATGATAGCCCAGGTTGCTCTAATAGTGGCTTTTAGCTCTTCTGAATTGTTGGGTCTGGTGTATTGCATCTTCTTCTTCACAATACCCCATAGATTTTCTATGGGGTTAAGGTCAGGAGAGTTTGCTGGCCAATTAAGAACAGGGATACCATGGTCCTTCAACCAGGTACTGGTAGCTTTGGCACTGTGTGCAGGTGCCAAGTCCTGTTGGAAAATGAAATCTGCATCTCCAAAAAGTTGGTCAGCTGCAGGAAGCATGAAGTGCTCTAAAACTTCCTGGTATGTGGCTGCGTTGACCCTGGACCTCAGAAAACACAATGGACCAACACCAGCAGATGACATGGCACCCCAAACCATCACTGACTGTGGAAACTTTACACTGGACTTCAAGCAACGTGGATGAAGTGCCTCTCTTCTTTTCCTCCAGACTCTGGGACCTTGATTTCCAAAGGAAATGCAAAATTTACTTTCATCAGAGAACATGACTTTGGACCACTCACCAGCAGTCCAGTCCTGTTTCTCTTTAGACGCTTCTGACGCTGTCTGTGGTTCAAGAGTGGCTTGACACAAGGAATGCGACAGCAGAAACCCATGTCTTTCATACGTCTGTGTGTGGTGGTTCTTGAAGCACTCACTCCAGCTGCAGTCCACTCTTTGTGAATCTCCCCCACATTTTTGAAGGGGTTTTGTTTCACAATCCTCTCCAGGGTGCGGTTATCTCTCTTGCTTGTACACTTTTTTCGACCACATCTTTTCCTTCCCTTCGCCTCTCTATTAATGTGCTTGGACACTGAGCTCTGTGAACAGCCAGCCTCTTTAGCGATGACCTTTTGTGTCTTGCCCTCCTTGTGCAAGGTGTCGATGGTCGTCTTTTGGACAACTGTCAAGTCAGCAGTCTTCCCCATGATTGTGTAGCCTATAGAACTAGACTGAAAGACCATTTAAAGGCTTTTGCAGGTGGTTTGAGTTAATTAGCTGATTAGAGTGTGGCACCAGGGGCCATCAATTTTGAACCTTTTCACAATATTCTAATTTTCTGATATGATGAATTTGAGATTTTCATTTGTTGTCATTTGTAATCATCAAAATTAAACAAAATAAACATCTGAAATATATGAGTTTGTATGTAATGTATGAATATAATATACAAGTTTCACTTTTTAAATGGAATTACTGAAATCAATCTACTTTTTCATGATATTCTAATTTTATGACCAGCACCTGTAGATGAAAAGGGGAGTGAATGTGTGGGAGGAATAGTTCCTTATCCGCCATATTTCGACATATTAAACTGTCTACCACCTCTGCGGCACTAATGGTGCAGCATGGAAGCAGTGTTTGAGACTCCATTCACATTTCTATTTTTAATCGGCAGTTTGTTCAGATGCTGACAGTGGGTGGGTGTGAGGGGGGGAGATATTGCTGATGACGGAGCACAAATACACGCAATCTGGCCTCAGGGAATCAGGCAGTTTAGAGCTGGAGGATAAGGATGTATAGTTTGGAAATACTAAACTAAGCTACATCTGCTCTGGAAGAAAATGATTTATGTGGAGAAGAAAGAAATTTACCTGTTTGTTTTTTTTTAGTTAAGCCAGTGCTTAATTCAGAAAGAATGCTTGGTTGTGTTTTCAGAATATTTTCACTTAAGATTCTTATTACATTAATACATCAAATGAAGGTCAAAAATACATAAAGTAGTTTAATTAATTTTACCGCTGTGAATGTTGCCCCCTTTATGCAGAGGTGGAAAGTAACGAAATACATTTACTCAAGTTACTGTATTGAGTAGGTTTTTTGTGTATTTTGTATTTTTCAAGTAGTTTTTAAAATCGGTAATTTAAATTTTACTTGATTACGTTTTGAGTGAAGTTTTGTATTTCGTTACATTACAAATCCCATCCATTACTGAGTAAAAAAAAACGTTGGAAAACTGAAAGGAAGACAAAAAAATCGGGCCCGGAAGCACTACAGTGAGTGACGTGATCAGCATGTAGATCTAGGCTACCAGGCGCTCTGTTTATGTTAAAAGAAGGATGGCACTCAGAATGAACAATTCATGGCAATTCCACTTTCAATTGATGTTGAAACATTGAAAACATTTTATGGGATGTTCTGCACTAAAATGACACAATATACATTTATAAGGGTCTTAAATGTCATGTGTGGCGTGTTTTATGTTGTTATTGCATTTGTTTAGTGCTTATTAGTAACTGTTGTTAATGTTTGAAGAAAAGAAGGACGGCCCTCAGAACCAACAATTTATGGCACTTTTACCTTCAATTTGGTCTGAACTAAAATTGCACATTATACCTATCTAAGGGTTTTAAATGTCATGTGTGACATGTGTTATCTTGTGTATCTTGTGTATACACATGTAATGTATACACATTACATGTGTATACATTTGTATAGATTTTTCTTTAATTAAAAACTAAATAGTTTTGGATTTATGACTCCTTGTCCTATTTTCACTACATGGGAGAGATCCCCTGCCCCGTTCAACTGTTGTTTTTTGTTTTTTTTTAAATGTAACTATTACTTAAAATACATTTAAAATTAGCTATGTATTACTTTTACTTGAGTAATTTTTCTGATGGGTAATTTTACTTGTACTTGAGTAATATTTCATCCAAGTATTGGTACTTTTACTTGAGTATGATATTTTAGTACTTTTTCCACCTCTGCCTTTATGACAGGCTCCCAGTGAAGGGATGGACACGGTCATTCAGAAGAGCTCAAGGTCCTCTGGCCATCAGAGCAGTCGCCACAGGAGCCGCGACAAGAGCAGAGACAGGAACCAAGAACGAGACCGGGACAAGGACTGGCCAAGAGAGAAACTCGCCGATTCACACTCTCCAGTGAGTCAAATATTTCATGCACTGCTTTCAAATAAATTATTTTGATTTTTCTAAAACTGCTAAATAGACATTTAATTTTAAATGTAGCAACTATAGATCAATATTTATGGCCATTTTTTTTTCTTTTTGTTTTACTATTTTAGGGAAAACTGCTTTGTAATCACGATTAAAAAAAAATCTTCTGAAAAACAATAATGTAGGCTACAAAGCCTCTGTTTATTTGCTTTTTGTTATATCCAGTTCTTCTTTTCTAGATGTGTTTAATTTGACATTTTGTTTAGGATAATGTGTGAATTTTAGGTCATGTCTTAAAAAAAGTGCCTATGGTTTAAAACCCTTTAAATAAAATACCAAAACACTTTGCAGAATGAGAATAACTGTGTTTTCCTTTAGACAAGAAAACACAGCATGAAATCTTAAGAAGCACCCAGTTTTACCAGTTACCACTATGATCCCGGAAATGCTAAAATTTCAGACAGATATGTTAAGCAGTAGAGTGCAGTTTCTTAATGTTTCTCTATGGAGGCAGAAAGGCAATAAAAACATATTTATTTAAAATCTTATTTTGTTTTAGAGTTTAAATATTATTTTTAATATTTTACCTTAGTATACCCAAACTGGGCGGAAAAATTCTTACGTAAAAAAAAGATAAAAGAAAAACTTCAAAAAAGTTACTAATAGATTGATTGATTAGTTGTTTTATTTAAATCCGTTTAATTTAGAAATACTTTATTGATTCCAAAGGATAATAAATTGTTGTAACTCTTATAGGTTTTTTTGGAGTTATAACAGATGTTAACAGCTGTAAGGAGAAAAGATCTCCTGTAGCAGTCTGATTTCCAGCGTAATGAGGAAGCCTCTGACTAACAACAGTCTGTTGCTGTTTAACAGTCCTTTGAAGAGGATGCTCAGAGATTTTCATGTTTATTCGATTCCAATATAATCCTGAGATAAAATGATTAACCAGTGGAGAGACAAATAATACATCTGCTCCATCTAAGCCTTGATTTAGGATCCGTAGTCTTATTCGAACACTGCCTTTATATTTATCTGTATTGTTATGACTGAGGTGGTGAGTCATCCTTAATTTCTCTTATCCTTTACCCGTAAATATTAGTTTTTTGTTTCTGAATCATTATGATGAATACATGAATCATGATGGGTTTTAAACATTGCTACCACTAGAGTTTATCTGTGTCTCCTCATTACCAGGATATCTGCTTCTTGTTCAAATTATAAGGTATTGTTGACATCATAACGACTTTAATGATAAATGTATTATTTTAGCAAAAGCAATTACATTTCTTTATCAAATTAAAGTGGCTAGATCATGTTTTATACACAATTGTTTTCCATATTTTGTTCAGTCAAACCATGGAGCTTTGGCTCAACATTATTATTCAGTGAGAGTCTTGTACCAGAATAAAAGACAGCAGAGATATTTCCTCAGGCATTGCAGCCACACCTGCTCATTGCTTTACCCCTATCCTACCAAAATGCTAAAATAATTATGTACTAATTTAAAGGGACGTAGTTAAAATATATGAGACTGCAGCAGCTCATACTGGTTGTATACATTTATGAGAACTCTGCATCCTGCTTGCTTATTATTTGTTATTTTTGTGTTTATTCTTTGTTTCTGCTCAATTTTCTTAGTAAATAAAGCCCTTCATATTTATTTATCAAAAGAGGTAAGATACTAGCCATGTGTGCAATGAAATTCAATGAGAAAACATCTCAGAGTAATGAAGAAAAGGTCTTCAAAATTATGTGAACTTTTGGATTCTAATACAAAATAGCGCATGGCATACTATTTCAACGTTGGTTAACTGAAGCAGGAGAAAAGCTGGTATCTAGATGTTGCACTTAGTTGATGGATGTTTGACTTAACACCCTTAATGCTACTCTTAGGGCTGATTTATACTCAGACACCAGGTCGTCTGCGTGTGTCGCAGTTAACGCAGATACGCCACCGCCCCTACCACAGACACTCTGCTGCACCTCTCCAAAATTGTAGGTGACTGCAGACAGGAGGCCTCTGATTGGTCAAATCTACATCCGCTCTTTCTATGTATATTTCCTGTTTAGTACCTTGCCGGCTTGTTTTGTTTGTATGATCACCATTGTGGGAAACGACTCGTTAAGAAGGATCAGCTAGAAGAGCGAGGTGCGCGAGAACACTGGGACCCTTTCTCCACCTGGATCTTTTTCCCCCTCATGTCCCTCCGTTGTCGCACAAATTTGGCCCTTGCTTTTTTTCCACTTCTTCACTGCTTCGGCCGTATCTAGACCCACCGCCAGTTGGTGATTGTCCCTCTTGTGTTGTGGAATAACATAGCACAGACCCCGCTTTCATTTTGGGCATAAGTCAAAGATATCTTTGACAAGCTCACTGCGACACACTGCTGCGGGAGAATAACCAGCCCTTTTAGTCTCAGTATAAACACAAACAACGTTATAAATAGAAATATTGACTAATTGGTTCTGTTAGGGTTTGGTAGAATTTTTCCTTTTCCTTGTTATTCTAAAAGGGGGGGATTCTCTAGAGCCTAGAGTTGATGTAAACCAGTTTATTTCATTAATATTAGTTGGTGAGACTGTAAGGCGGTAGCTGTGTCAAAGGCTGCTAGTTCCACAGTATTGCCAGCAGGTGGTGCCATGACTGTTTATGTCAGCTCATTGCGTCCGGTGCTGGAATTCCATTTAGGCTCAAAAAAGACATTCAAAACACTCTCAGGAAAGAGTATAGTAGAGTGACAGTAAAAAGCCTTATTTTACTATCAAGTGGTTTGTGGTCTTTTTTGTTTAGGCATAACATGACTATGTACCTTTAAGGTGATACAAATGGGAAAAATGCTGAGGATAACAACTTAGATGGGTCACATTTGCTCTCACATCCCTTGTGGCTTGGTACCCATGAGGAGCTCTCTGAAAGTCTGGGAAAAGTTGGTTTTCCATTATAATTTTTTCTGCCACCAGCTAATTTTAATGTGTTTCTTCTGCCAGCTCAAATACACACAACAGTTGTTTTTGTTAGGAGTCCTTTTCAAAGACCTTTATAAACTTAGAAAACCACTATACAACCAAACTTCATTAGCCAGCTGTGTTTTCACTGTCTGTGTGTCTAACAGAACAAATCCACTGGACGGTTCATGTATTCTATGGTGTGTCTTTCAGAGTCAGCCACTGAAGTCTCTGCGGAAGCTCCTGCACCTCTCCTCCTCATCCTCCAACCAGACGGGCTCCTCCGATATGCGCTACCAGCCGCTGCCTAACTCAGCCTCCGCTCAGGGCGGGTTCTCCGAAACCCGGGGTCACTCAGGAGTCGGCACGCCCCAGCTTAAGAGCCGACAGGGAGCCTACCCGCTGCCGGGCCAGCTGGACTCTGCTTGGCACTCTTCTGCCCTGGGCCGCCCCGAGGGCAACCCTTACCCGGAGCAAATGAGCATCAAGGGGGGCCAGAACGGGCATGGCTTCGGACGCCAGGCCAGGTCCCGCATACCAAACCTCAACGACCTGAAAGAGACAGCTCTGTAGTCCTCGCCGCCCTCACCTCAGCATCCCGCTTCCCTTCTGTTGCTCCGACACCTCCCCTGTAAACATGCTGAACACACAGAAACACCAACCCTCCTGTTGTAAACACTGCTTGCAATCAGGCCAAAAGCCTTTTCATGTCGTAATTTTTTTAAAGCTTCCATGTTTGATAGACTTTATATTATTACTTATGTAATTCTAAATCTAATTTGTATTATAAAGTAAATATGTTACAGATTCAGTATATACATATATCTGTATATATATATATGGATAGGTAAAGTGTAGATTTTAAGTGTAAGTATTTTTGATTTTATTAAATATATAAATATGGTACATTTTACTGTGTAGTATCAGTTTAAGATAAATCTAAGGCATTCTAAGCAAATGGAGATGAGCCAGTCATCACAGCAGAGGCTGGTAATGTCAGTACGGATGATGTCCATCTCTGCCAGGGTCGTAATTCTTTTCAGGTGCGTCACCTTTTAGATGTGCTCTGTCATTCTTGTTGCTGATGAACAAATGTGCTTCTGAAAAACCGCAGCAGCATCTCTCTGGGCTGTAGGATACTCACACGGTCCGAGAGCTTACATCTAACTACTCGTTTGTTGGATATTAAATTGATTGTCTCTTTATGAACTGCGGCCATTTTGAAATTAAGATAACTATAAACTAAACTCTATGCTTTAATCTACACTGCCCTCTGCGGGTCATAATGAAGCACTGCTCTAAGTATTTTCTAACACATTTCAAATCATGAATCAGTCGTATGCACTGATTAATTATCTAATTTAATTACACAAATCACATGATTGAAGAAAAATCATAAAAGGTTGAAGAGTTTTAATTCAAATTAGTTAAATTTTCAGGGCTTTGTGTATGTTTTTAGGAGTTAATGATAGAGGACATTTAAAGGGCGTGGCTCTTCGCTCCCTTCCTGGTTTTTGGAAAGCAAAAGACCCTCTAAGTGGTTCGACTCTATCATAGAAACGCACAAACTCACTCAAAACTCTACAACCCTTGGCTGCTATAAAAACAGCGACATTTTTAACTGATTGTAAGAAAAGTATTTTTACAGCAGCTACAGGATCATAAAAGCCATTTATAGTGATGCAGTGGCTCTCAAATGAACAAAGTCTGCCTTTAATTTTCAAAGCTGTTTGCTTTAATCAACATTTAATCTAATTTGCATATGTTTTGTCGCTTTCCTGTAAATCCTGCTCTGAAAAGCAATCAGTGCGTGTTAACTTCAAGTATCTTTCAACCATTGCACCTGGATTTGTTTACTTGGCTCTTTTGTTTTTTTTTTTTTACTTCAAAATCGTATCATCTCTATATTATAGAAGCAATTGCTTCATCTAATTAATTATAAAGCTGTAGCCCCCTTATATTTTATGGCAAATCCAAGTAAAGGTGTAAAAAATGCCTCTGAGGTGATCCTCCTTTTTTACAGTAGCATAATCTTACAGGAAATATATTAAATATTTCAAATTTTACATTATTTTCACATTAGGACCGTTTTATCTTTTACTATAATTTTTTGTTGTTGTTTTAATATGTTTTTAAAACCTAATAGCAATTTTTTTCTCTTTCCTTGGGGTGACGTAGATTCTGTCACAATGCAGTAATAATAATCTCCAAAGTTCAATGTTAGAAAACAGCAAAGGGATGCTTCATATTGTTGGTCAGCAAGTTACTATGACAACCATTAGATGCTATCAACACGCTGTTTAAGACCAGAAATTTTTATTTTTCATTTCTTTGTTAAAAAAAAGTAAACTGGTAAAGTTTGCCAAGCCGTCCTGGCACTTTGGGTGTTTGATCGGTCTGAGACTGAAACTTTAAAAAAACACTTTTCAGAGGGGAGGGTTGCATAAAACAAAAGATTAGTACAGATTAAGCACCTTATACCCCCACCGCATGGTGTGCTGTGGGTCCTTTTTATCCTTTTAGTATTTTAGTTGACCTTTTAAACTAAGAAACAGAGGAAAAGCAATAGCTCATTATACCTAAACTTATTTACAGCCAAAGCAATAATTGTAAAAGTAGGGCTACCAACATGCACAGACAGCAGGATGGTACAAATAGAGACATTTTAACATCTTTACCTGGCATGCTAACAGTTTGCTATCTAACTTTCCCTTTTTGTTTGCCATACTCTTAAATTTAAGTTGCTAAGTACGCTTTATTTCTTTTTAATTCTAGTTACTTTTTTCACCAACTTTCTTGAACTAAATTGTATTTCTCTCCTCTCAGCTTCCATGCAGTGTTTCCAGGTACCCTCTGATCTGATTGGGAGTTACTGCACTACTGCGTTTCTGACTGATAACACACATTTGAACAACATAGGACGAACTTTTGAAAATGTGAAACCCATTGTTGGGATAATGTGGACCTGTAATGTTGTTATATTGTTGGAAATGAAGTGCCATGACAGCAGCTCTGCAGAAACAAGTCTTAACCTTTGTTTTTAGTTTTATTTTTTTAATATTTCACTCTGAAGAGCCTTTGTGGCTTAGCAATATTGTCCTGACTCTGTAAAATGACTTCTCACTTCCTGTTTATCATGTGTAAAGCGAGTGTGTCGGCTGGTTTTGTTACCTTATGGGGACATTTTACTAGTATAATATCCTACATTAAGGGGACTAACAGGTCCTTGTGGAAATCAGTCAAATGAGGAAAAGTTCTCTTCTTGGGTTGGGGGTTAGGTTTGATCTGGGTTTAGTTTGGGTTTTCGGTGAGGTATGTGTTGGTAATATAAAGAGTAAAGGTAAGAATGGGCGTTAGGCCATAGAAATGAATGGAAGTTTATATAAAGTCCCCTTAAGCGTGACGCCTGTGTGAGTGTGAGGACTGAGACCTGCGACACACCGAGTCAAAGAGACGTTCCTCTCTTTCAAATTTACCATTTTTCGCTGAAGGAGCACCGTGTATTATATTAATACTGACGTGTGACTTACTTGTTTGGTAATATTTATAACAGAGCAATGTTTATCAGCTGTTTAAATGAGATCGAGTATAAAGTTTGTGCTTTTTCTTTGGTTACAGACACGATTTAGTAGCATAGTCTGTGTTAAACCTGCTTACTTTTCTTTTTTTCCAACAGGGAATTTTCATGAGAATATGAAATGCTTAATTCAACGAATGCGTAACTTCTTTAGAATATTCATGTTTACATTTGTGACAGTAAATCTCCAATAAAATAAGCTGATTTAATTTAAATAGTACAAAGTTTTTTAAAGTGTTTAATCTTCCAAAGCAAATTTTGAACATGTATCATTTTTTCCCCAGCAGTTGTTCCAATAATATTTGTCTTTAACCTTAAATAAAGTGCCTGCTGGCAGGGAGATGGCGGATGGGGGTGGGAGCAGTCCTGTATGCCTTCAGGTGCACTTGCTCATACACATTAACAGCTCCATCCTGATGGCGATGCGGGTGTGCCAGCCCAGAGGGAGGAGGCGGATGTAGCGAGCTACGATGGGGGGGCGCAGCAGGTTCTGCACGGTGGAGGAGCGATCAGAGTTCCCATAGAAGACCTGAGGAGAAATACAGCAACAGGATTCATCTTATATTGCCTTTTTTGGGGGGCGTGCAGGTGGTGCAGTGGTTAGTGCTCAAGACCCATGTACTGAGGCCTTAGTCCTCAACGCGGCTGACCCGGGTTCGAAGCCAACCTGTGGTCCTTTGCCGCATGTCTCTTTACCCTCTCTCATAGCCTCTTTCCTGTCAGCATACTGTCAGAAAAACGAGCCACTAGTGCTGCAAAAACTTGCAAAATTTTCATTTCTTGGCTGCACAATAATAATGCCTTACAAGCATATTCATGAACATTTTGTTACATTAAAACCATTAAACCCAAGAGTGGTTTCACTTACATAGAAGATGTTAATTGAAAGCATGATTGTGGCCCCCTGATGCACTTGCTTTCAAATGTCATTTAATTGTAAATAGAGCTCACTTGTTTTAATGTGAGCAGAGATGCAGCTGCTTTGTAAAGGCCTCAGGTTTGTTAGAGAACGTTAGTTAATCAGTAACATCATGAGGACCAAGAAAAAGCTCAGAGGTCAGTGAAGAAGTTTTAAACAGAGTTAGATTATAAATCAACATTTAAAGCTTTAAACATCACACAGAACTCTGTTGGATCCATCATCTGCAAAGGGATAGTTAAAAGGCTTGGAAGGGAGAAAAAAAGAGGGCTGTGATGGGTCTGGAGGAGCTGCAGAGATCCACATTTCAGGAGGGAAAACATGTTTGACGGGATTGGTATTAGCTTTGTATTATGTCATTTTATCGTAAAACTGAGCAAATTTCCATCTCCATTTTATTTGTTAAACTGGAGGTCTTCAACTCCACAGAGGTACTGCGTGGAGGTCGCAAAAATTATGGTTGATTAGACTTTTTTTATATTCCTCCCTGCAGTTTTTTCCACTAATTGAAATGTCTTTAAATCCACATTAACATAAATTCAACAGACTGTAGTAAACAGATAAATGGAGGCAGAAGATGTCTTTCAGTCATCAATGCTAATTACTTTCGTTACATGACTCCATCTGTAATAGAGTGACTATAGGACCAGTTTGATATAACACAATTTCATACAATATATATAATTAGGGGGTCCCTGCTCCATCTCACCATCAGTTTGGGGGTCCTTGGCCTGGAAAACCTTGAAAACCCTTGTGTTAAACATTAATAAATCTGTATAGAAATAGTTTTTGAGAAACACCTTTGCTATGCACTATAGTTACAGCACCATAAACAAGGTAACTCTCTTCACATAACTTAACTGTTTAGTGAACCCACCCTGTTATTTCCTGTTTGGTCTTTGTAATAGATCCAGTTGAGGGTTTCCACAGTGCGATACTGGATGCTGTATTTAGTGATCCACTCATCAGCGTCACAGCGGCCCTGGATCAGGATTCCAGACACCACTCCCACCTCCTTCAGGTCGATCTGGATCCACTGTTGCTGGTCGTTAAACTTGGAAAGCCAGGCACACCTAGCAAAAAACAGAAAGAAGAAAACTTGTTTTCATGACAGGATAAGCGGACGTTAACTGGAAACAAGAGCAGCTTGTAATCACCCAAATCCTTGGTTGTTAAGGCGAGCCTTGTTTGGGGTCCAGGAGGAGTACCAGCCGCTGTACTGGTCCTGGTTAGAGCAGCTGATCTGGTCCGAGGCCACAGATCCTGATTCGAAGCCCAGGGCTCTGTGGTATGGGCATTCTGTGGAGGACATATTCTTGTTAATTCCATTTAGTTATTTTATAAAGGAAAAGTTTTAAGACTAGTCTTAAAGCAGAGAGTGTTTCTGCCTGATAGACAAACCTGGCATAATTAAAGACTAAAAATGATGCAGGGTTGCGTGCATTATTTTTGCAGTGTAGGATTTAAAGAAGATGCATTCAGCCACTTTTACACTGATCCTCAAATTACTGGTATTCTTATAAAGAGAGATTATTAAACAGAGTGTAATTTAATCACAGGATAAATCAGTCTATGAACAACTTAGACGTTTCTTATAAATGATTAGCAAACAAAAGGAACACAGCAGACAGGTCAGATTTACTGAATCCAGATTATAGCTTGAGGTGATCCAGCTTACGGTGAGCTTTGATCCACGGAGGAACAGCATGATCAGACAGGAGATGATGATTGAAGCATTATCTGATGCAAGCTTCTCTCCACACCATAATGACAGGACAGCCCTTATTTTGAGCATGCTAATCTGCTCATCACATTCCTGCACAGGTAATGGGATTAGCCAGCACTGTTTGTCATTCCGGGTTTGTTCAGAGCAGCTCTTCATATCCGAGTCTCAAGCTGTCACTTTTGATCCCCTTTTATCTGTTATTCTGCACAGAAAGGGCTGGGAAAATCTTATTGATGTGAATGATAGTGATTCCTCTCACTTCAGACCCATGAGACTTGCATTATAATTGCATTTGGGGATCATGAGATTTAAACCACCTGCAAGCTTGTGTGTTTCAGATATCTGAAATAAAATACTCAGGAAAAACAAAACTCAGCCAATGACCTAAATGAGGCATTCGTCAACATGAATTTGTCTGTAAAACCCACCTGGTAAAAGAAACACCTTAAATATCCTCTTAACTGAGACAGAAAGTCAGCAGAGGTGAGAGCCTTTCTGAGTCCTTACCTGGCATGCAGTTCAGCAGGTGACCCTGAGATGGCAATGAGGTCGGCGGCACAGGTGAGATAGCAGCAGGGTTGCGTGTTGGCGAATCCACGGACTCGCAGTCACAGGTGCAGGCCTTGACATTTCGCGTCCACGTCTCAATCACCTGCTGCTCCTCCTCCTGTAGCTCTTCCTCTTGCAGCTCTTCCACCTGCTGGATGGTCTCCTCTTCCTGGAGAACACACAGGGGGAATCAATCTAAAGCCTCTTTTTCACTCACCTTAAGTTACATACTGGTGTAATGCAATCTCACCTCCTGTGATCTAACCGGGATCACTGCTGCACAAATGTATAAAAGAACAACAAAAATCAGATAAAATAGATTGCATAGAGATACCATAGGTTTTATATATATCAGAAAAAAGATAATAAAAAAAAAACCTTGTGGCCTTTTTTTGCAAATAAACTGATATATCTTATTTCTTAAGTCTGTAAGTATGAATAAATGTAAACTCTAAGGCTAAACTGTACAGCTCTGTCACAAAAATTAGACAATTGTTTCTCTCTTGAGATCATGTTAATTCCAGTCTACTGGATCCTACACTGTTTTTAATTATTGTTTCTGTTATATCAAGAAATAGCAAACAGTTTTATATATATATATATATATATATATATATATATATATATATATATATATATATATATATATATATATATATATATATATAGTTTAGCTAATAAACATCCCTGCAAAAAAAAACACAACTCCACAGTGGCTTACCCTGAGAAAGGAGCAGAAGGAAGAGCACAGCGGCACAATAAGCAGGGACCTCCATCGTCTTGTTCAGCTGTGGAGGACTGACGTGTGTGATACCCTACTTTGGTGGACAGGATTACTATAATCCACAGGACTGTGATGGCCTCATAATGCTCTTTAGTGGCACTTAGACACCTCCCTTGGACAACTCGATTATCCTGCATCTATCCTACTGTGGACAGCTTCAGGAGAGGAAGGTCTTCCTGATGAGTAGTCATCACCGCTCTGCAAAACATGCTTTTTAGTCAAACTGGTTACAGTTTTCTGCCTGTATGCCTCGATCACTGGCTGCCGTCCAAGAGCAGCCTCACGCAAAAAGACTACTATTAAAAGATGACATGGCAGATGTCTAAACTAGGGTTAAATTTCCAATTTCTATGTACTTTGTAGAGATTTTATTGCCAAACAGAGCAGCAGGCAGGATGCAGCTACTATAACAAGAAAAAGTTAAAAACATAAAGTTAAGGGTTTAACAAATACTTGCATGGAGAACAAAGAAAGAGCTAGCAGAATGATGAAAAGTGGTGCCTTCTGTCCCCCAGTAGCCTAAGCCTATAGCAGCATTACTACAGAGATGGCTAAGGAAACTTGAACCACTCTAACTATAAGCTTTATCAAAAAGAAAGGTTTTAAGGTAGTAGACAGGGTGTCTGCCTCACGGACTAAATTTGGCAGTTGGTTTCAAAGGAGAGGAGCCTGATAACTAAAAGATCTGCCTCCCATTCTACTTTTAGACTTTCTAGGAACTGCTAGTAAGCACAAAGTACTCTGTTAGGAACATAAGGAATGATCAAATCTCTAGTAAAAGATACACTTTGGTCATTTAGAGCTTCATGCACGAGGAAGATTTTAAATTCCATTGTGAATTTAACAGGATGGCAATGAAGAGAAGCTAGGATAGGAGATATACACTCACCGGCCACTTTATTAGGTACACCTGTCCAACTGCTCGTTAACACTTAATTTCTAAGCAGCCAATCACATGGCGGCAACTCAGTGCATTTAGGCATGTAGACATGGTCAAGACAATCTCCTGCAGTTCAAACCGAGCATCAGTATGGGGAGGAAAGGTGATTTGAGTGACTTTGAACGTGGCATGATTGTTGGTCCCAAAAGGGCTGGTCTGAGTATTTCAGAAACTGCTGATCTACTGGGATTTTCACTCACAACCATCTCTAGGGTTTACAGAGAATGGTCCAAAAAAGAAAAAACATCCAGTGAGCGGCAGTTCTGTGGGCGGAAATGCCTTGTTGATGCCAGAGGTCAGAGGAGAATGGCCAGACTGGTTCGAGCTGATAGAAGGGCAACAGTGACTCAAATAACCACCCGTTACAACCAAGGTGGGAAGAAGAGCATCTCTGAACGCACAGTACGTGGGACTTTGAGGCAGATGGGCTACAGCAGCAGAAGACCACACCGGTTGCCACTCCTTTCAGCTAAGAACAGGAAACTGAGGCTACAATTTGCACAAGCTCATGGAAATTGGACAATAGAAGATTGGAAAAACGTTGCCTGGTCTGATGAGTCTCGATTTCTGCTGCGACATTCGGATGGTAGGGTCAGAATTTGGCGTCTACAACATGAAAGCATGGATCCATCCTGCCTTGTATCAACGGTTCAGGCTGGTGGTGGTGGTGTCATGGTGTGGGGAATATTTTCTTGGCACTCTTTGGGCCCCTTGGTACCAATTGAGCATCGTTGCAACGCCACAGCCTACCTGAGTATTGTTGCTGACCATGTCCATCCCTTTATGACCACAATGTACCCAACTTCTGATGGCTACTTTCAGCAGGATAATGCGCCATGTCATAAAGCTGGAATCATCTCAGACTGGTTTCTTGAACATGACAATGAGTTCACTGTACTCAAATGGCCTCCACAGTCACCAGATCTCAATCCAATAGAGCATCTTTGGGATGTGGTGGAACGGGAGATTCGCATCATGGATGTGCAGCCGACAAATCTGCGGCAACTGTGTGATGCCATCATGTCAATATGGACCAAACTCCCTGAGGAATGCTTCCAGCACCTTGTTGTGGCCAGTGAGTGTGTATATATATATATATATATATATATATATATATATATATATATATAAAAATCCTTTTAATTTTCATCAGAACTCTGGCTGCAGCATTTTACAGCATTACAGATCTTGACTTCCTGATTGTAAAGAATTAGAACAGTCCAGCCTTGAAATAACAATTGCATGGAGTATTTTCTCAGCATCACCTATGGAGAGGATATTTCTCAGAAAGATTTTATGTCTTAAAGACATATTTCTAGTCTATTTAATGGGACAGTTTCTTTAGGATTTAGGGACAAATATAACTAGGTTTCATCAGCATAACAGAGAATTAATCCCAGTCTGTCAAAGAATTCTACCACTTGGATCATTTATGTGGTAAAGAGAACTGGTCGTAGCACTGATCCCTGTGGTATTCCACAGGTAACCCTGTAGCTTCGGGAAGATTTATCATTAACAAGAACAAACTGTATGTAAGATATCTAAAATCGGATCCCTTAATACATATAGAATGTTCAAGCCTTTTTAAAGAAAGTATTATGATCAGCTGTGACAAATGCAGGACTGAGATCTAAAAGGAAGAGTACAAATACAAGTTGATCATCTGAGGATCCTTGGGGAGAAGTGGGCTGCCATTGTGTGGCGCCCAGTGGAGCAGGTTGGGGTTAAGGGTTTTGCACAGGAACGCCTTGTACTTGAAACCTTCTCAGAGCCCAAGCGCACTGCTTAACCCACCAGGCCAACACTCCCCTACAAAACACTCCACTATGTTTCAGTGCTACGATGAGCTCTGAAACCTGAAACTGTACAAATAGATAACGTCTGTGTACTTAGGGCCTACATACTTGTTTAATTACTGCTTTCTAATTAATTATAGCTAAGGAAAGATTATATATAGGTCTAGTAGTTCAAGTCATATGGATTTAGAGAAGGTTTCTTAAGTAAAGGTTTAATTACGGCTACCCTAAAAGCCTGAGGTACATATCACTGTAAGAAGGATTGATTAATCATATCTAAAAAAAGAGGGAATACCTCCTTCAATGACTATAGGAGGATAGGAACTGAATCTAAATCACAAGCTGAAGGCTTAAATAAGGATAATAATTTTAATATCTCAGAAATTTCAACTTTTTTAAAACAGTCCAAACATAGTTCAGGTTCAATACTTACCTCCAATGCTGCCTCACATAGCTCTAAATTAAACAAGTGAGCCAGTTTCCTGTTGACAAAGTCTGCCTTTTTTAAGACACTGCATTGTCTAAACAGTGAGCAGAGACAAGGTAACACAGTCAAAAAATTAATTAACTTGTGAAGGGGATTAATTTCAATTGTTACCATCTGCAGTATTGTTCTGTGATACAGAGGAGATTAAAAAAATTAACAGATTAGAACATATGTATTATTGCATTATCTGATTTGGATTTGTAATCTGGTTTTGTGGGAGAACTTTGTTAAGTTTGATGGTTAATAAAAAGTGATCAGATTGGGCAGGGTTATGAGGAAATACTGTTATTTCTTTACAGGTAATGCCATATTTCGGCCCAAGGTCTAAAGTATGAAGGTGAGACTGTGTGGGACTGTGCACATTTTGAACACAGCCAATCGAGCGTGAGATAGCATTAAAGGCTACCTTTAAGTTATCATCTTCATCTTTTGGTATGACTCTTATGCTCTCCTTCCATTTAACACTTGATCGCTAATTCTGCTTGTCTATGAAATAAGACAGATTAAACTTGTGGTTGCATTGTGAAAACATTTTTTAGTCCACTAGGTGTGTAAAACCAAGATTCTTCGAGTTGCACCTCCAAGACAACCTCACCTGGACTGTAAACACCACCTACCTGGTCAAAATGGTGAAAAGCGCTTGTACACCCATCCTCACCACCTTCTACAGAAGCACCATAGAGAGCGTTCCTACCAGCTGTTTCACTGTGTGGTGTGGAGGCTGCAGCACCTCAGACTGGAAGAAGGTGAGAACAGCAGAGAGGATCATCGGTAGGCCTCTTCCCTCCATTAAAAACATTTCATCCCAGCGATGTGTGTCCTGTGCCCGTAACATTATAACTGACCCCTCACACCCCCACAATGGGCTGTTCTCCCTGCTGCCCTCTGGGAAGAGACTTCAAAGCATCCGATGCAGGTCCAGCAGATTCTAGAACAGCTTCTTCCCCACCGCCATTAGACTGCTGAATGTTGTGTAAAATGAGATTTAAAAAGAAATGCTGAATGAATCTGTAAATCACATACCAGTCTTATGTTTACATTTTATCACTGCTGCTTACTGTATATTTCATCACTGCTCACTTTAAAGATGAAAATGTCTTTAGAGATTTTTGTATACACTCTGTGTGTACAAAATGACAATTCAGTCTATCTAAGGCTAAGTCTGAGTCTAAATGCTTTAGTAAATAGCAAACATATACTCTTTGATATCTATATATGAATTTTAGAGTCTCAAAACTGGTTTGGAAGATAGAAAGTGGGCTGAACAAGCCCAGTTTTCCTTGTTCTTTTGGAACTTAATAAGGAATTAATCTGTCTGATAGAGATCAGTCCCAATTAAATGTTAAAGCATTTGCAGGGCAAATATTATTACGACAAATAATCAGATAATTAGATCTATTTAGGACTGTCTCTCTTATTAAATCACTTGCCTTTTATATTTTTCAGTTTTTGATAGATTGCTGCGTAGATTCAGCCATATTTTTTAATCAAGAATAGACTGTGTGCTTAGCTAAATACTGCTCAGAGATTAACCTAATTATCATTCAGCATCCCCATTTCTTGCTAAGCTAAGATATAATTTCAAGAGTACGTTGATTAGACAATGTTCTTTCTTTTTTTCTTTTAAGGACTAATAAAATTGTAGGAGCCAAATATTTTTTGTTAATAATTAACAAAGTTTTTTGTTTTTGACTAGCTAAGTTTATTCTACTCTATTGTTTGATATCTGTTATGAGATTGTGTATTTTTGGTTATTTAGTTATGTTCCTTTCTTTCTGGTAAGTCGTGATTAATTTGGGTGAATTATTTCTTAAATAGGCTGTCAAGGGTAGGACCAGCATGCATCTGGGTGGGTGTATGTTTTTTTTTTACCAGCCTAAGAGAAGCATGGAGGAAATTATCGACCTTTTCTGTTTCCTTGCCTGAGGAGAAATAAACTGAGAAAATTGAGGGAGTTTACCTGGAACATTTTTTTTTTTTTTTTTACTTAGATTACTTAATCCATGGTGCATCTGTGGCTTTTGTGGACCTTTTTTGTGTCATCAAAGCTGGGCCACAACAAAAGATTTTTTATAAGAATGCTACTTCTTCATGTCTTCAAATGTTGGACTCTGTTTCCCATGCTTCATTAACGTTTATCACCAACTGTGGAGCCATGACATCACTGTGACCTGTACCCTGAGGTGGGATGGCCTTTCCTCTCCACGAGAAGGCAGTGTCATTGGTACACTTTTATTTACAAGGCCCTTCTTGGATTATTGCCCTCTTACATTTGTACCTGAAAAAAACTCAAACTCAAACTTGTGCATCTCAAATGTGAAACACAATTTCGAATACACATTGTGGATTAATCGATCTATCTTCAAGCATCACAGGACAACCATCACCATAATGCTGTTTTACTGGCTTTGGTTATTAATACGGACGCGACAGTGACTGCTGCTGCTGTCCACACTCACCACATCAGCAGGGTTGCCAGATGTCACTAACTCCCGTTTATAAACCACCTGGATATATGAAACCTCACCCAATTTGAACCAAAATCTATTGATCTCTTAGGCCATAAATCTAAAGTAAATATATTTTTTTACCCATAGAGGGCCATCCTTAACTGCCAGATTCTGAAACATCCCAACCTGCATAGGCGAATCTACTGGGGTGGCGTAGGGTGGCAACTGCCACCCTAAATGACAGCCTTACCACCCCTGCTGCCACCCCAGTTGGCGGAAGGGGTGGCGAGGCTTATAAATTATGGATCATTTGAGAATTACGACCGCTAATTTCCAATGTCGGACTGCAGTGAATGCAGCACGAGATGACGCGAGAGCGACTGAGACTGATTTGTTTTTTAAAACCAAATGGAGCAAAGCGAGGGAGCCAGGGGTCACAGGGAGAGGAGACACGGGATGAAACAGGTAAAAACTGATCAACTATCTATCGAGAAATTAAATCATAATGAAAGCACAATGTTGCTAGCATAGCTGCAAGGCTGATTTTGAGATGATAAAAATCAGGTTGCAGAATGTTATTTCTCTAACTATGATGTTAGTTAGGCCTGACGTCTCAGGCTCATAAAGACATATTTGCGGTCAACTATGACAGAAAAGAGACGATCAAGTTTGGTTGTACTCAAATCAAAACTTTTTGCTGAGCAACATGGAAATCGTCGCATTCTGTAACATCCAGTACCTGCCTTTTTGTTGATTTGTTGATACAGCAGCTCTATCTACAGCATATTTACATGCATTAAATGTCCCTTTCATGTTGCCTTAACTGCTGTATGACAAGTTACTGAGGAACAAATGGGGTAAATCTGTGTTCAGAGTAAACAATACATGGATGTCCTCTACCTTGTTTGGATGCCTTGACCCATTTATTTCTACAGCTCAGTCCATAGATCTCTGATAGGTAACTTTTTCTTTCTATAGTTTCTTCTTGTGCAAATGCTGCAAAGCTGCCTCTCTGACAGTCAATCTCACACATCTGCGACTCAGCACCTGCGTCTTACCTTAATACCTTTCCTGTCATAATGCCCCTCTAGAAGTAGTGTTATCAATCTTCTATCTCCTATTAAAGGAATAGTACACCCAAAACATGATTAGCCTTCATTTTCTACTCACCCCCATGCTGAACAACACTCTGGAGTACTTTTTTGATATCTCAAATGCATCTGGAGATCTGGGAGGCTTCTTGCTGTCTGCTGACATTCAAATAATGGAGGTCTATGGTGCCCGAGACAGAAAGGTCCATAAAAGTCCACAAAAAACGTTTCAATATTCCTCCATACTGCTCGTCCAATGTATTCCAAGTGTCCTGAGTGGGTAGCATCCAGAATTTACTCGAAACGAAGTCATTTAGAATGTTTTTAGAGCATAAACAGTAGTGTATAGGATTTCCTGAAAGCGCGCACAAGCGCGTTCACGACGCTACGGAAGCCGGCAGACCAAACCAGCGCATTCAGCTCGGCAAAGAACTCATGCTCTTCCTCAACACTGAAGTCCTCAGACATTTTTCTTTCGTTGTTTCTTTCTTTGCACAGGTAAACAGCACATTTCTTCTTCTACGCTTGCATTATTGGCAGAGCAGACGCTGAATGCGCACTTTCATCCGGTTTGGTCTGCCGCGGTTTCCGTAGACTCGTGAATGCGCTTTTAGAAAATGACACCCTATGCCAACCGTCACAAGGATGTGCATGACAAGGAAGGGCTATATATACTGCATGCATAATTTAGATCAATGGCATAACGACACAACAATAGGCCTGTAAGCAACATTATCTAGGCCCCATATGAAGTACAACACCCCATCCACCCCACCCCTGCCGCTGTCCTAGACAACCGACCCGAAATTTGCCCCAAACATACACACTTCACCTTCACTAGACATGGATATATTTTAGTATATTCTGCTGCTCCCCTCCTCACCCACGCTCTCTCCATTCATCTCCTGGTTGAAATGTTTTGTTACTGTAGCAGCAACATCCACCTCTCCCTCTTTGGTACTTTGAAAGAACGTTTTTATTTTGGGAAGTTTTTTCCGTTCTTCCAGCTGCTCTTTACTTTTTCTTTTCTGGAATCCGCTTAAGTACCTAACTTTGGTATCCATCGTCACTAACACATTATACGTAACAGTTATGGTTTTAACCGACGCTCTGGATCACCCATAATTCCAAGTCATATTGTAAAAAATAAAAATACTCAAATACATTGTTCTTTTAAGATCTTTATTGCGGTTTGAAACATATTATATAAGTGTATTTTTTGCCAACCGTCTAATGAACAATACACAGATAATAACAAAGTAATTAAAAGTACCACTGTCTGCTTTGCTATTGGTGTTGTGTTTAAACGTCTCAACATCATGTTAATATCTGGCATGTGTTAGGGTATAAATATGGTCTGGTCAGTCTATCTAGTATCAGGTGGGTTTAAGAGGAATATTTCCCACCATTACATCTGTAAAGAGGTATTCTAGTCCACAATTGTGTAGGGGGCCTACCAGGAGTCAGTGACAGGGCCCCTAAGAGGTTGGGGGCCCCTAAGCAACTGCAGTCTCTGCTTACCCATAGTTATGCAATTGATTTAGATAGTTAAAAATATATTACTTCTTGAGCTCCTTGAGTTACTGTCACAGGTAGGAGCTTCTGCCAGAGAGTAAACGTGGGGGCCGTTATGATTTAAGGAGGGCCAGTGTAGGTACCAGATTGACTCGGGCTGCCAGATTGACTCGGGGGCCTGCGCCTTTTGATGACGTCACAATACATAATTGTTTTAACGTTTGCACAATTGCGCAAAACATTTTGATTGGTCTGGACAGCTTACTAAAGTAATTATAGCGGGGTGTAGGTTTTATTCGAAAGCGGGATTGCGGTTTGTAAACGGACAATTTTACGAAGAAATTCTCCATGGTCCCTGCGCCTTCCGATGACGTCACCGAATTCGCCATGGGCCTTGCGCCTCACGATGACGTCACATTATGGCAACGCCACTCAAACAAACTACATTGAGCCCGCGGTCTGCATTTGTAACGACAATAAATAGAGACCGCAATGTAGTTTGTTTGAGTGGAGTCGCCATATCGTTACGAGTGGCGTTGCCATATAGTGACGGGCGGAGTTGCCATATTATGACGTCATCAAAAGGCGCAGGCCCCCGAGTCAATCTGGCAGCCCGAGTCAATCTGGTATTGAAATTAGGACCGTTCCACCGGGCAAATGCCTGGGATCACAGATTACCAGTCTGTGCCAGTCACACAGAAAAGCATGGCCTCTAATGCCCTGAGATCCAACGATCAGCTGTTGCTCACTCTTCCTTTTGCTCTCACAGAACTAGGGAAGAAAGCCTTTAGCTACGCAGCTCCTTGTGTGTGGAATTTTTTACAAAGAAACTGGAAGTTGACTGAGTTTTTATCTTTAAATGCTTTTAAGTTGAAAGTGAAAGAATTTGAAGCAGCCTCAATGATCTGTAATTGTTTTACTCAATATCTTTTTTTTTTTATTAAATGTATCTCTGTTTATTATGTAACTTTGCTGCCTCTTGGCCAGGACTCCCTTGAAAAGGAGGTTTTTAATCTAAATAGTTTTTTTCCTGGTTAAATAAAGGTTAAATAAATAAAATCAAATAAAAATATGTCAGCTTGTGTCAAACGGGGCTGACTTTAAGCTCTTAAAGGTAGGCTCGTGATTTGATGGCTTTCTGAAGCTACCAATAAGATTTAACGGGTCAAGTTAAGGCGTTTAAGAGGCGGGATCTGTTGGGCCGTTTTATCCAATCACAGCCCTCCTAAGATTGTCGATAACCAATCAGAAACGAAGTTTCACCTGCGAGCGATAGATGTCTGAGGAGCACATCTCTGAGGACGGGAGTACAGCGCTGTTATTCATGGTGAGTAATTTGATGCTGTGTTGTTGGGCTGTAACGTTAGAATGTCTTAAAATCTTTATGGAGAAAGTTTATTGTTTTAGATGCTGCAGGTGGGTCTAAACCTTTGCTCAGACTAACCGGAGAATTAGGGCGTTAATGTTACTTCCGTTCCGCGGTGTTCATAACGGGATGATGTTTAACCCTAAAGATGTTGAACCACATAGTTTGGCACTAAGAAGGAAATAAACGCTGTAACTGTGTTGTGTGAATATTAGAAAGCTGTTATCTTAATTGTCTAAGGGAAAAAGTGCATGAACCGTTCAGGCTGTAAATCTCATGGAAATAGTTCACATAAATAGTAGCCTTGAGTGACTATTTGTTACTTTGTAATAAGAGGGTTATTATTTTGTAAGAAAAAAAATATGATAAGATCCAAACACCCATTAATTTATTAAGGTGAAATCATTCACTGATTATTTTTTTCTTGGTGGCTGTATTTATTTCCAGAGACGTTGCTATTTTAGAAAGAAAGGGGGGCTTAGCCTAGGTAACTTTTTCTTTACAGATTGTTTATGTTTTTTCTTTCTCAAAGTTAAATATTTCAGATGATCAAACATATTTTATTCTCAGAATAAAATATTTTGAAAGCAGTTTGCATACTGTTAATTCATTTGCTTAAAGGAAAATTCCGTTTTTTAACACTTTTAGCCCATTTTCTGTAGTGTCCAGGATGAAATCGAATGATCGACACCAAAATTTGACAATTGGTCCTGTCTCTGATATTTGGCTCATGCAGAATCCCCCCCTGGCTGCTTCAGAATGGCTTCCATAGTGCATGTCCGATAATGTCCTTAAAACAACCTTAAACGTTCTTTTTTTAAAATATGCTACTCACCGGGTCGTCAGCGCTGTTCAATGACGTTCCAAAAAAAGTTTTGTAAAGAAAAAACGTTCCTGTAGTGTTTTATTTAGCATTTTGTAAATCCCATTGAATTCTGTTGGAATAGTCAATATCCCTCCGCCACCGGAAACGGAAATGGGGCCTGTTTACCCTTAGTTGTAGTCTTTTCGCAAGGCCCAAGTGTTTCTGCTTCACTCTGTGTACTCCGACGTCGAGGTGCTAACGTCTCTGTTAAACACTTTAAAAAACTCTGAAAATGGAATACGAAAGGTGGATTCTTGAGGAGGACATATTTGACTTTGAGTTTGACGGTAGAGGATACCGTCGCCAACTAGTGGTCTGGAGTGTGCAACGCTTCAGATTCGAACGGGAAGCGGAAGTTTATAAGCGGTTGTGATGTATCGGAAAAAATAGTTCTGGGATTTACAAAATGCTAAATAAAACAAGACAGGAACGGTTTTTCTTCACGAAACTTTTTTTGGAACGTCATTGAACAGCACTGACGACCCGGTGAGTAGCATATTTAAAAAAAAGAACGTTTAAGGTTGTTTTAAGGACATTATCGGACATGCACTATGAAAGCCATTCTGAAGCAGCCAGGGGGGGATTCTGCATGAGCCAAATAGCAGAGACAGGACCAATCGTCAAAATTTTGGTGTCGATCATTCGATTTCATCCTGGACACTACAGAAAATGGGCTAAAAGTGTTAAAAACCGGAATTTTCCTTTAAGGAGAATACTAGTGATGGGTCAAGCAACAGCAACACACTGGTGCAAACCCTGACTGACTGATGCACTAAAATGTGTTATAAGGGCATCTGTCAACGCAAAGCATCTGCCAAATAATCTCTGATCTTTTGTGGTTTATCGTCAAATAATCAAGAATTATAGAGCAACCTCAAGGCAAATGAAAGTTGTCTTTATCTGTTAAAATGTTCTTTTTGTGTCATCCTGTTCCTCTCAATTATCACTCACCTTATCTGAATTCAAATTGATTTTAAATTGACTCGTAGGTTGCTGTTCTTACTGTAGTTATTATTTTAAATAAATAAATCCTAGCCCACAAACATCCTTATTCACATGTTCAATTAAAATTTCCCGTTGTATGTTTACATTTACGGATTCCTTACAGATTGTTTATGTTCTTTTTTTCTTAGTTAAATGTTTCAGATGATCAAACATATTTCATTCTCAGAATAAAATAAATTAAGTAAATGCAGAAAGCAGTTTGAATATGGTTATTTCTTTTGTTAAAGGAGAATACTAGTGATGGGTCCAGCAAAACCATCTATCAACGCAAAGCATCTGCCAAATAATCTCTGATATTTTGCGTTTTATCATCAAATTAATCAAGAAACATGGAGCAGCGCCATGGCAAACAAAAGGTTTCAGCCCAGTGGGACTATTTTGATCTTATATTTGTTAAAATGTTCTTTTTGTGTCATCCTGTTCCTCTCAATTGTCACTCACCTTATCTGAATTCAAAGTGATTTTAAATTAAATCTAAGGTTGCTTTTCTTGCTGTAGTTATTATTTTAAATTAATAAATGCTAGTCCACAAACATCTTTTTTCACGTTCACTTAAATTTTCCCGTTGTATGTTCAAACTAATGGATTGTATCTAAAAATATCAAACATACTTTCGATCCAAACAACAATATAAAATAATACATGAGAGAAAACATTGGCTTAAAGATCATTAAATAATAAACTGTTTAATCTGTCAAAGTGTCTGCCTGTAGTGAAATTAAATGTCCAGCAGGTGTCAGTATTCAGTGACACAGTATCAACACAGTGTAGTTTGCAAATGTGTCTAAACGCTTCATGAAGCCTCATGAACCCATCACTATAGAATACCTAATGAAGCCTACCTGAACCTGTTAGAAGCCCCTTGTTAAATCACAACTTATCTGTGATTACACATATATATTAGTGCTAGATGGATACATTGGCTGGCTGACATTTTGAACCGACAATATTTTGTTTTACTGTTTTGTTTTTTAATCAGGGTCCACTGATGCATCCATTCACCGATTCATTACTGTATTACCATTCATCCATGCTTTGAGATCACATGCAGCACATGAAACTAAGAAATCCTCTTGGTAACATGACCCTGACCAAAAGAAAATCAGGAAACAGAGTACTTGAAGTCTGTCAGTTTGGGAAGGGTTAGCGTTAGGACTGCATTAAACCACGGTGAGAGCCTCTTTCTATAAATGGGAAAAATCCATCCATCCATCCATCCATCCATCCATCCATCCATCCATCCATCCATCCATCCATCCATCCATCCATCCATCCATCCATCCATCCATCCATCTTCTTCCGCTTCAGTAGGCAGGCCCAGACGTCCCTCTACCCAGCCACTAGGGCCAGCTCCTCCAGGAGAATCCAAAGTCGCTTCCAGGCCAGCCCAGAGACATAGTCCCCCAGCGTGTCTCAGGTCTCCCTCTAGGTCTCCTCCCACTGGGACGTCCCCAGAACACCTCACCAGGGAGGCATCCTAACCAGATGCCTGAGCCACCTCATCTGACTCCTCTCGACATGGAGGAGCAGCGGCTCTACAGGTGCTGGTCATAAAATTAGAATATCATGAAAAAGTAGATTGATTTCAGTAATTCCATTTAAAAAGTGAAACTTGTATATTATATTCATACATTACATACAAACTCATATATTTCAGATGTTTATTTTGTTTAATTTTGATGATTACAAATGACAACAAATGAAAATCTCAAATTCATCATATCAGAAAATTAGAATATTACTGAAGACCAATAAAAACAAAGGATTTATAGAAATGTTGGCCAACTGAAAAGTATGAACATGAAAAGTATGAGCATGTACAGCACTCAGTATTTAGTTGGGCCTCCTTTGGCCTGTATTACTGCAGCAATGCGGCGTGGCATGGAGTCGATCAGTCTGTGGCACTGCTCAGGTGTTATGATAGCCCAGGTTGCTCTAATAGTGGCTTTTAGCTCTTCTGAATTGTTGGGTCTGGTGTATTGCATCTTCTTCTTCACAATACCCCATAGATTTTCTATGGGGTTAAGGTCAGGAGAGTTTGCTGGCCAATTAAGAACAGGGATACCATGGTCCTTCAACCAGGTACTGGTAGCTTTGGCACTGTGTGCAGGTGCCAAGTCCTGTTGGAAAATGAAATCTGCATCTCCAAAAAGTTGGTCAGCTGCAGGAAGCATGAAGTGCTCTAAAACTTCCTGGTATGTGGCTGCGTTGACCCTGGACCTCAGAAAACACAATGGACCAACACCAGCAGATGACATGGCACCCCAAACCATCACTGACTGTGGAAACTTTACACTGGACTTCAAGCAACGTGGATGAAGTGCCTCTCTTCTTTTCCTCCAGACTCTGGGACCTTGATTTCCAAAGGAAATGCAAAATTTACTTTCATCAGAGAACATGACTTTGGACCACTCACCAGCAGTCCAGTCCTGTTTCTCTTTAGACGCTTCTGACGCTGTCTGTGGTTCAAGAGTGGCTTGACACAAGGAATGCGACAGCAGAAACCCATGTCTTTCATACGTCTGTGTGTGGTGGTTCTTGAAGCACTCACTCCAGCTGCAGTCCACTCTTTGTGAATCTCCCCCACATTTTTGAAGGGGTTTTGTTTCACAATCCTCTCCAGGGTGCGGTTATCTCTCTTGCTTGTACACTTTTTTCGACCACATCTTTTCCTTCCCTTCGCCTCTCTATTAATGTGCTTGGACACTGAGCTCTGTGAACAGCCAGCCTCTTTAGCGATGACCTTTTGTGTCTTGCCCTCCTTGTGCAAGGTGTCGATGGTCGTCTTTTGGACAACTGTCAAGTCAGCAGTCTTCCCCATGATTGTGTAGCCTATAGAACTAGACTGAAAGACCATTTAAAGGCTTTTGCAGGTGGTTTGAGTTAATTAGCTGATTAGAGTGTGGCACCAGGGGCCATCAATTTTGAACCTTTTCACAATATTCTAATTTTCTGATATGATGAATTTGAGATTTTCATTTGTTGTCATTTGTAATCATCAAAATTAAACAAAATAAACATCTGAAATATATGAGTTTGTATGTAATGTATGAATATAATATACAAGTTTCACTTTTTAAATGGAATTATTGAAATCAATCTACTTTTTCATGATATTCTAATTTTATGACCAGCACCTGTACTCTGAGTCTTTCCAGGAGCCAGTCTACCAAAATTATTACAAAAATGCATTAAATTCATCCAGTTCAGAAAGGAAACCAGAATATCACTGCAGGCTTCACTTGCTTCAATAAACATCAGTTCTCTCTATGTTAAAATACTAAAGAGACAGAACAAAATCAATTTCAAAACCATAACTCATTATAGAGAAAAAAACAACTTAGCATAGTTGATGGGACCATGGATATGTTATCTTTGAAGCAATCCTGAAGGGGAGGGCACTAAATTCAAGAGCATTAGGGTTATGCAGAAGAACAGTAATAAGAACAAAACAAAGGTTATTGAGTGGCCTAGTCAAAGTCCAAACTAGAATATGATTTAGAGGCTGAAATTAGACTTTAAACAGACTGTTCATGCCTAAAAACACCCAATAAGTATCACCAAAAAGGTTGTGAAAGAATTCCTCTACAGCCATATAAAGGATTCCCAAATAGTTCATGGCAGTCAGATCATCTCTTGAGTCAAATAGCAAAAGGCACGTATCCAGTTATTAGGTAAGCAGTGGTTACATTTTTATATTGGACCTGGTTGGTTGGTAAAAAATGTTTTTCAATGAAAGTGAAAATATTGTTCAATAAGGCATTTTCCGTTCGATAAGGTTATTTTAATCTGATTATTAAACTTTGTTGATTTTAAACATCCTATGTTGCAGGCGTGGTTTGGTGGCGCAGTGGTTAGCACACACAATCCATGTATGGAGGCCTTAGTCCTCGACTCGTTCGATTCTGACCTGGGGTTCTTTGCCGCATGTCTCTCCCGTCAGTTTCCTGTCCAAACAACGAGCCACTAGCGCTGTAAAAAAATAAAATAAAATAACATCCTGTGTTACAAGGGGGCAAGAAGTAGATCATTCCAAAGTATTTTATTCATTTTTAATTAATTCGTTACACACAAACTTATATATTCCAGGTATTATTTCTTTCTTAATTATCATCAATTTAAACTGTGTCAAGCTGAGCTGTTTGTGGAAAAAATGGAGTAATATATGAAACCATTAAAAGGATTTTCAAAACAAAAAATATGGCGTGCTCAATCACAAAGAAGATGGCTGACTTTACAGTAGCCTAGCAGATCATCATCAAGGGTAAAGCAGAAATCAACTTCTTTCATTGCTACAGAAATCAGTTTGGGAAAGGCTCCAAGTGAGGGTAGGAAAAATTGCAGCTCCACAAGCAGTAGCGTAAGGACACAACAATAAGCAATATTATCTGTGTGGGCCCCATATGAAGTACAACACCCCATCCCCGGTACCTTACCGGCTTCTTTTGTTTGTATGACCGCCATTGTGGAAAACGACTCATAAAGTTGGACCAGCTAGAAGAGCGAGGTGCGCTAGAACGCTGGGACCCTTTTCCTACCTGGATCCCCGCTCTTTTTCGCCCTCATGTCCCTCCGTTGTCGCACAAAATTGCCCCCTCTTCCTCACCAACTCGGCTATCTCTAGACCCACAGCTTGTTCCTGATTGTCCCTCTTGCGTTGTGGAATAACATAGTACAGACCAAGCTTCAATATTGGGCATAAATCAAAAATACCTGCGTCATATCTGTGACAAGCTCACTGCAACACACTGTTGCGAGAGTATAACCAGCCCTTTAAAAGGAAGGGGTCGCAAATAGCATTTAAGAGTTTAGGGATTTAGACTGCAGTTAGTGGAGACAACCACCAAACGCATGTACAGTATGAGCAACATGGCTGATAACTGTTACCACAGAGCCAGAGACTATTTTAGAAATGTTTCACCTGGGCTAAACGAACAGGATGGGCTGATCATCTGCAGCAATGCAGTAATTGATGCACAAGGAGACCTGACCAAGTGTTGAGTGCACTATACCGGATCGTATAAAAGCACAATGCACAGTATTATGAATTTAAAAGAAAACAAAACGTATTTAATTCTACTACAAGTCTTATGTAATGGGAATTTGTCCGCCTGGCTGTGTTTTTCCTGTTTAGCTGGTTGACCGTTGACTTTTGCATCTCTGCTTTTATCTCTGCTTCTGTTTCCTTGAACCCCAGTCGGCCTCAGCAGATGGCCGCTCACACTGAGCCTGGTTCTGTTGGAGGTTTCTTCCTGTTAAAAGGGAGTTTTTCCTCTCCACTGTCGCTACAAGCATGCTTGGTGTGAAGGATTACTGAAGAGTCAATGAGTCGATGCAATCAACTGGTTTTACTTATATAGAAAACTTTGAATAAATCTGACTGGATGATCTGTAAGGTGCCTTGACATGGCGTGTGTTGAGAATTGGCGCTACAAATTAACATTAATTTTTGAAAAAACTGCTCTAAATTATACTGATCTTGGTTTAAATGAATACATCATTTAAACCTGTCCATGTGATCTCATTAATCTTTACATCTGAACTGAAGCAGTTAAAGAAATTAGGTTTTTGATGCTGTTTTATTGTATAGGGATCCATATGTTAGTACCAGGTAAATTACATTATAAATTGCTTTTATTTGTCTTTCCTTTTTTTGTACAAAATATAGAATTTTAGAGGTGCATTTTAGACCTGACAACATCTGTGTTTGTTTCCTTAATTTGGTATAACTTGTCAGACTGGCGTCATGCTCCTTCACAGAACAAAAGAATAGCAATTTTCTCTTTTTTATCTTTATTGTTGTATTGTGCGGATGTCTCTCCTCACCGCCCACCTCTCTCGCTCATCGTTTCGTTCACATCTCTGTTTTGTCATCCCTTCATTTCAGATGCAGTTCATGCTTCTGTTCAGTCGTCAAGGCAAGCTCCGGCTGCAGAAATGGTACGTGCCTCTGTCAGACAAAGAGAAAAAGAAGATCACCAGAGAGCTGGTGCAGACCGTCCTGGCTCGGAAGCCTAAAATGTGCAGCTTTTTGGAATGGAGAGACCTAAAGATTGTGTATAAGAGGTGGGTGGTGATTTGGACTTGGTTTGTAACCCTTTGAAACCCTTGAAAAATGAAAGTTAATCGATTTATCAGTTTGGTTTGTGGTTCAGTTAGGGAATCAGGAAAGACTGTTGGCAAAGAGATAAAACAAAGTGAGAAGACTACAAGAGGAGGTGCTTGCATTTTCCCCTTATTATATCCTGTTGCTGTGCCAACACACCAGCGGGCAGATTATTGGTGGAGCTGAAGGTGTTCTGATGACCAGAGGTTGCAGATAAAGAATGAAAAAGCTGTTTTGTTATTTAAAGTTTTTATTTGTTGTAGTGTATTTTTTTTAATGCATACATTACATTTGACCACAATAAAGTAAAATCGTTTAGTAAAACCATTTATTATAAACTGAATCATTCATTCTCCTATAAATGCCTGGGGCTGACTATGAGAATCCTTAAAAAAGTATGATATAGAGCAGAGGTCACTGATTAGCGGACCGTCGTCTGGATTCGGACCCACCTGCTGGCTAATCTGGACCCAACCTGATTTAAAACATTTATAAATGACTGCATGTTGTCCGACGACAGTGTCTAAATTCACTTTAGCCGCTTCACCTGTTAACATGGTAAAGCCCACTGGAGCATTCCGGGACAAGGCTGTACGTAGGCCTGTCACGATAACAATTTTTGCTAAAAGATTAATTGTCTCAAAAATTATTGCGATAAACGATAATATTGTTTTAAGACCTTTTTACTCTGATTTAATGGAAATTACATAATAATAGGGTTGTCAAAAGTATCGATACTCAAAAAAGTATCGATACTGAAACGTTGTATCCGGATACAATACTCATTTTCAGAAGTATCGATACAGTGCTACCACCAGTCAGTGGCACCTAAAGTCATTCATCGAAAGTGTAGAATAGAGGAAAATGCACTTTCTGAACACTGTGATTGAATAATTCTGTGCACTTTTCAGTTTTACACTTTTTTTTTTTTTTTTTTTATAACAAGTGCAGCTGCTGAGAATTATTTTTGTTTCTTAACTGGTTTGGCTAGTGTCATTATGTGTGCAAAGCATAGCCAAGTAAGGAAAACTTTATTTTAATTTTGTAATTTTTTTTATAAAGCTTGCTTAATATTGTGCACAGCAAACAACCTCAAAAAATATTGTTCTTGTTGTTTATTGTATTTATTTATTGTATTTTAATTATTAATCAAAATATTTCTATTGAAATTTGGAGTTTTTATCCTTGTGGTATCGAAAATGGCATCGAGTATCGAATATTTTCCTTAGTATCGGTATCGAGTTGAAAAGTTTAGTATCGTGACAACCCTACATAATAATGCATGCATTTTCCTGCCAAAGATAAACGCACTTTATTTTTAACAGAACACTTAACACTGGAACTGGTTAACAAAATAAAACGAGAAATAAAAATTAAATGGACTCTCAGTCTCTGTCAACTAAAAATACACTTGAATAAAAACCAAGAAAAAACCACAGTGGAAATAAAAACGTATGTTCAATATTACATCTGTGATATGTTTGTTTTCTGGGGAATTCATACCGTCTATCAAATGTCTGAAACATTTTACGAAATGCCGGCTTTACAACAATATTAAATGGAAGCATCTCTTTGGCAATTAAAGGCACACTATGCAACATTTTTCAGTTAATTAATGTGTTCCATAACGTTATGGATGATTAAATGAGTCATTTCAGGTTGAACAAAGGTATTCTCGGCCGCCCTGGTGGTCTGTGGGGGAAATACCGCACTTGCAATTGCAGGAGCACCGACCCGCACCCACAGGCTCAGAAGTCTCGCAAGAGTCGGTCTTGCTTTACGGCGAGAACTGCTACACCCCCCAGTTAAAAGCATGCTCGTTGCTAGCACAGTGGCGATCTTTGTGCAGTGCTGCTTTCACACCGGACGCAGCAAAATCGCGTCTGCTGCTTCCTTTTTGCTGCTTGTACCAGTTAGTTCTGACGCGCGGCTGAAGCAGCTTTGCTGCTCTGGCTGCGCGGTGCAAAAGTGTGTCTGACGCGCGTTGGGCGGAGCTTCACTATCCTTTCTCTGCCTTGCAGCTATATTTGCTGTGATCAGTGGGAATAAAGTAGTTTTAATATGTTTTTAAGTGAGAAAATCTACTTGAAAACTTAATCAGTGCCGTCAGTTCATTCAGATTATCATCCTGCCTTGCAATATTATTTCTGTCAGAGCCGCTCAGACCCCCACATACCAGCGGTGGGCCGACAGTAGGGATCCCTTCATCAGCAGCCTCTGGCCGGGTCGCCTCCTCGCGGTAGGTGTTTTTCATCTAAATAATCCAGACAGCAGGCACCAGAACAATAAAAGCGAACACGCTTTGTCTGCAGGTTTCAGCATTTTCAGTTAATTTAGGCGTCAATAAACTGTTTAAGAGGAGTGATCACAGCGCTCTGTATCATCAGCGCTGTGTCTCTCTCCCTGCCAGCTCCCAGATCAGCGACTCTGATTGGTTGATGTGGCATGTCGAGCAGCAAAAGTTCGATTTTTCCATCTCGAGCAGCAGCGCGTTTGCGGGTCAGATGCTTGAACACTCCCGACGCGCTGCTTCAGCTGCTCAGACGCGCTATGCCTGCTGCTCAAAACGTGCTGCGGGACCTTTTGCTGCGCCTTGAGGCGCGTCAACCATTGACTTTGCATGTAAACTTGCTGCTCCTGCTGCGTCCGGTGTGAACACACAGCAGGCAAACCTGTGGCAAGCTGAGTGATGGGGAAGAAGGAGAACATGATGGTGTGCTCAAAGATGACCCTGAACATTTTGAGCACGTTTGGCTCAACCTGCTGCTGTGCAGCAGGATTCTCCTCCATGAACAGAAACAGAAATAAATAATAATCCAGGCTGAAAATGAGCAATTTGATATGTGCTTTAGAATGGCTTTGTCTCCATTCAAACCCAGGTTTAAAGCCTTGCTGGGCAGCCTAAAGTCCACTGCTCTTTTTAAGCCAGAAAAAAGGGAAAAAACAAACAAACGGTCAGTTCATGTGTTTTATAAAATATATAAATCAGGAAATATATACCAAACTGAATGAAATCAAACTGAATGAAATCAAACTGAATGAAATCAAAAGATACTTAAGATTTTAAAATGGGAAAATTATCTATTTTTTTATATTTTTCTATTTAAAAATTCAATATATAACATGGATACATAGAAACCTCATTTTATTTCAGTGTTAAATTCAGTTTAAAGTAACAGATTATAATTAGAAATATCTCCGGACCTTTACTGGTTGATGATTTTCTTTATTCTGACGCTGCTGATTTTTAATTGGTTACCCCTGATATAGAGCCTTTAAAGCTACTTATTTTATTAAAACGTTTTTAAATGTACAGATCCTTGCGAGGTCATCAGCTCTCTTGCTTCTTGAAAAAAATATTTTGTCACGTTATAAGAACATAGTTAATGGATTGGACCAAGACAAAGTTGTCATGTTGAATTTAAGTCTCTTGACCCACAGTTGACCAGAGTTATCAGTTCAGTGAACGTTTAATAAAGTTCATTCATACACTGGGTGGCCAGGCGGATTCAGCTCGGGTTCTGTTGAAGAGGGAAAATGTTACTAGGGGCCGGTGATGAGAGATCTTGATGGGTTTGAATGATCCGGCTTACTGTCTGTTTGATGGCGGCTGCGTGGAGGGAAGGGCTTGGATCCGGGAGCGTGTCCGAGGGGGAATGGTGGAGAAGGATGGAGAGCGGCAGGCGGAGATGATCGGTCTTTGGCAGAAGTGGTTTTAATGTCCAGACGCGGTACTCGGCTTGACTCTGACAGCTTGTCGTTTTCTGAAAGGAAACGCAGAATTACTTGAGTTCTCTTAAAACATCCAAAGCATGGTTTCAGGTGTTGACTCTGACAAACAAGTGAGACCATTGAGCGATGAGCAACTGTTCCTCAGCTTCTTTAAGGTCCACCAGTCAATCACCCGAAATCTGCTGCCGGTGTGCCAGCCTGTCAAAGCTCTCCTCCGAAGATCTTCTATAGGAAAGACCACTCGCACTGACCCGATCCTAACAAAAGTAGAGCATGTCTTTGAACTGGGATGTAGATTATAACGTGGTACAATGTTGTGATCCGATTTCCAGCTTTGCACATCTAGAGATGGCAGGAGAGTATCTACGAAGAACTGACTCTGCTTTGACTCTGTGGTGGCGTCAGTATAGAGACTCTAAGACAGGGCTTTAGCTGACAGAGCAACCCCATTAGTGCAGTAATTATACCAAAATTGTAAAAATATATATAAATTTTTGCATTATAATAAAAAACAAACAAAATGTGTCTGTCAGTATGTTCTACCCGAAACTCCTCAAGTGGAAAAGTTTTATTTTAATCTGGTTTAATTTTGTAAATAAAGTCTTCTTTAAGGAATCTTCTGCTATCTGATTATTAATCGATTAATAATTAAAGGCAGCGCTGTAGGGAACCACTTCACGGTGGGGCAATTGGCAGCCATAAGAATGCACCAAAGGCAGCGTTCTGCGCCACGCATGGCCTCAGTACATCGCTCCCCCTGACCCCCCTCACCTCAAAGTATGTGATGAACGGTTTAAAATTAAACTCTTTCCCTAAATTTGCCAGATCTGTAACCTCTGCTGATCTCCTTTTTTGAAACGGCTGAGTTGTCTCCAGTACCTATCAGCTTACCATTGCATGCCACGGAAGGGAAGCTCCCCTTTGTTCCAGACGCCCCAGGTCTCCAGTCTCTTCAGGCATCTGAAAGTTCCCTGTAACTCGGAGAGAAATCTTGCAAATTGTCTGCTTTGCAGCGATTTGGTTCTGAAAGCAGCCACCAGATCCACTTAGTCTTTGATCAGTCTGCAGATTTTGGTCTTTAGCATGTGGCTGTCCATGATGGTACCTCTTAGATGTAACTGGCTCAAGATTTGCTCCAAAAGTTACAGAGCTTCTTTGAGTTAATTGTTTTCGCATAGGGTGGGAGTTTGAAAAAAAAAAAGGAAACAACAGAGATAAACGCCATACTTCTAGCCTGATGATCATATTTAATATCAAATTGGACATTAATCTCCTGTGTCCAAGTTAATATCATGGTTTATTGCCCAGCAGTGGTCTCTATTTTTCCTTCTACTGTAAAGCTTAACATCCAATTTAGTTTTCTTTTTATATTACTTAATTCTTCTTATTAAAGAATTAGTACACCCAAAACATGATTAGCCTTCATTTTCTACTCACCCCCATGCTGAACAACACTCTGGAGTACTTTTTTGATATCTCAAATGCATCTGGAGATCTGGGAGGCTTCTTGCTGTCTGCTGACATTCAAATAATGGAGGTCTATGGTGCCCGAGACAGAAAGGTCCATAAAAGTCCACAAAAAACGTGTCAATATTCCTCCATACTGCTCGTCCAATGTATTCCAAGTGTCCTGAGTGGGTAGCGTCCATAATTTACTCGAAACGAAGTCATTTAGAATGTTTTTAGAGCATAAACAGTAGTGTATAGGATTTCCTGAAAGCGCGCACATGCGCGCTCACGACGCTACGGAAGCCGGCAGACCAAACCAGATGAAAGTGCGCATTCAGCGTCTGCTCTGCCAATAATGCAAGCGTAGAAGAAGAAATGTGCTGTTTACCTGTGCAAAGAAAGAAACAACGAAAGAAAAATGTCTGAGGACTTCAGTGTTGAGGAAGAGCATGAGTTCTTTGCCGAGCTGAATGCGCTGGTTTGGTCTGCCGGTTTCCGTAGCGTCGTGAACGCGCGTGTGCGCGCTTTCAGGAAATCCTATACACTACTGTTTATGCTCTAAAAACATTCTAAATGACTTCGTTTCGAGTAAATTCTGGATGCTACCCACTCATGACACTTGGAATACATTGGACGAGCAGTATGGAGGAATATTGACAAGTTTTTTGTGGACTTTTATGGACCTTTCTGCCTCGGGCGCCATAGACCTCCATTATTTGAATGTCAGCAGACAGCAAGAAGCCTCCCAGATCTCCAGATGCATTTGAGATATCAAAAAAGTACTCCAGAGTGTTGTTCAGCATGGGGGTGAGTAGAAAATGAAGGCTAATCATGTTTTGGGTGTACTATTCCTTTAACATCCAATTTATTTTTCTTTTTATATTACTTAATTCTTCTTATTGTATCTACTTGTTTTTAGCTTTGTTACACCCAAGTTTGGTCTCTCTGGGAAAATAAAGTTTGTTATCAGTTTATTCAAATTGAGTCCGTGAACAAATGGCATTTCAAGGTGGGTGCTTACCTTTTAGAGCAACAAAATAGTAACGGGCTGACCCGAATCAGGCATGCTTATTAAGCAGAGGTGCAGATTAAAGTTTCAGTACAGCAAACTAAGGGCTATAGTTGAAGACCCCTGTTTTAGAAGCAACAACAGTATGTTGGATCTTTTATCCTTAGAAAGTTATGTTTTAATATGGTCTGCAGCCTCTTAAGAGGTTTTTCTTTCAGGACTGACTGATCTAACAGTCGTCGATGTATCTAGCAAACAAAATTATTCTCACAGCATAAAGGAAGCCACTTCGTTTATCTTCCATTAAACTGTCTTTCCTCATACCTTTAAGTAGTTGGCCATGCCTTGAAGATGTGCAACCTGGTTCCGAATTTTAGACATTCTTTTAAAATATTGACACTCATCTTCCTGCTGTGTTCCTTGGTTTTCATGAAACAGTTTGATCTCTAGTGCTATTTTAAGCAAAGCTTTATTTAAATCCAGCTCTTCTGTGAAGGCCTCAGACACACAGATGGTCTCAAATTAGTGATTAATGAAGGACATTTGTTGAACTTGGTTTTATTTAAGATTTTAGACTCAACAAATCTTTGCAACTGCATTATGGTCAATATCAATATGTATTTGGTTGCAGGATAATTAAACTAAAAAATCACCCAGAAAGCGCAGAACCTCCACCAAGCAGCAAATTTTATTGGGACTTACACCTATAACTAAATCTGAATCATTATGAATTTTTAATGAATTGTTTCATGAGGTGCACCTTTGGTAAAAAAGAAACTTCCTTAAAATCTTTTCATAAGTTCATAAGTAAAGAACAGTTTGTTTCAGCCTCTGGTGTCTGTGCTGCTCTCACCATCTTCATTTACTCTGATTTCCTCTTTGATGAGCAGACTGAGACTTGGAGCGAGGCAGGGCTCCCCTTTCTTGTGTTTTTGTATTTTTGGTCTCCGGTATAATACTTCTGGGCTTTTTCATTCGGATGCTAAAGCTGTAAATAATCACTGTTATACCCAAATAATGTTAAAGAACCCTTTAAAAAAACTCCTGTATCCAGATTATAACCTGGACCATCACCAACATTTATTGGATTGTTCCTTAAATATGAGGTGAACTTCTGGTGAAAAAGAAAATGCATTAAAATCTGTTCCTAACTTTCCAAGTAATCCTGTTAGCAGGCAGAAAACATAACCTGAAGGTAAAGCTCTGATTTGCCGGACTAAATCCACAATCCCCTTTAAGACTTTATACTGTATGTTTTTTTTTCTGCAAAGATAGAGGAAATATTAGCTTTTTTCAGTTAATCATCAGCAGAATAAGAACTTTACTCTTGCTGTGGTTCAATGTTTTTATGGAAATGCAGCATTAGAATCCATTTTATTTAGAAAAGCATCTCAGCTGCATTAGGCGTTTGTTTAAGCATTCTGTTTTCATTTGCAAAAGAGAGAAGGAATGACAAGGTAAACATTGCATTAAGCGATCATTTCCCTTGCTGCCCCCTCACTCCACCCTGCGGTTCATGGGATCAGCTGACCACCTCCTTTATTAGCCAGTCATCACATGCTTACAGTGAGCCTTTGGGATTATCAGGGATAAAGAACTATGGGGCAGGGCTTAACTGATTCAGCATCCTGCTCTGGCTTCTGGCTTCAAGCAGCCATCTTTAATAATGACTGAGAACTCCTCGCTCAGCAGCATTTAAGTGCAAAGGGAGACTCTTCTGTATGTCACTTAAAGATCCTCTTCATGGAAAGTATATGGTCAGCTCTCCTGGCACCCAGTTTGTCGGGTAGACATGAAACTTTTTACTAGTCTGCACAAAATACTGCAGTACTGTATTGTGCAAAAGAAAAACTTTCCAAACCGTTATTGTGTAAACCGAAAACACTGATGTTGCAGTGATGACAATGATTCGGTGTATCGTGCAGATGCTCATTGGAATGCCGTGTGTTTTTCCTCTGTCATAGATACGCCAGCCTGTATTTCTGCTGTGCCATAGAGGACCAGGACAACGAGCTCATCACGCTGGAAATCATCCACAGATACGTGGAGCTGCTGGATAAATACTTTGGCAGCGTGCGTTTGGACTCAGCCTCCGTTTCTGTTTTTATCTTTGATAAATCGACCTACTTTCAGGGTACCATCAATTGAGTTCATTTTCAAACTACTACAATATATACTGTGAATGTACGTATGTTCTCTTCCAGGTTTGTGAACTCGACATTATTTTCAACTTTGAGAAGGCCTACTTCATCCTGGATGAATTCCTGCTGGGCGGGGAGGCCCAGGAGACGTCCAAGAAGAACGTTCTGAAGGCGATCGAGCAGGCTGACCTACTGCAGGAGGTAAGACCCGCACCGTTGAAGGCATAATTATTCTTTTTTTTTCACTTTAGTTGGAAATCTGCCTCTCTAGTAGTCACATGTAGTTAAAACATATGTAATTTTTCATGTCTGTGAATAAAAATCATATTTTACATTATTATGCCATTATTTTATTGATCTTTAACAAGGTGCTACAGTTGGTTGTCAGTGGTTACGGTATAGATTTTTATCTTATTTTGTCTTAGAAAAATTGATAATGATAATAAAAAAGTAGGTCTTGAACCTGAATAAGGTTGTATTTATCACTCTTTCCTTAGATTTTAAAATAAACGTTGAATGTTTGTTATTAAATAGGATTAAAAGTCAGATCTAAAACCTTATAAAAGTAAAAAAATATATAAATTGAAAGGTTTTCAGAAAGGAATAAATGTCTAGTAAGCAAGTAGAAGTGCTTGCAGATAGTAGATAACCCATTGCAAAAAAACAACAACAAAAATGTTGGTTTGTGGGGCTCCTCGGTGGAACAGTGGGTAGCACTGCTGCCTTGTAGCAAGAAGGTTTCAGGTTTGATTCTGGGCCTGGTGTCTTTCTGCATGGCAGACATGGGCAATGTGGAGTCAACAAGTCATCTCCATGTCATGTATTTGTTCTACCCAGCCACTGAAGCAGGTGAGTCCAATCTTCACCGTGAATTAACCTGTGCAGATTGGACTCACCTGGTTAATTGGCTGGGTAGATTAAATACATGACATGGAGATGACTTGTTGACTCCACATTGCCCAAGTCTGCTGCATGGAGTTTGCATGTTCTCCCTGAGCATACGTGGACTCTCTCCGGGTACTCCTGCTTCCTCCCACAGTCCAAAAACATGACTGTTAGATTAATTGGCTTCGCTAAAGTCTCCTTAGATGTGAGTGTGTTTGTGTGTGAATGGTTGTTTGTCCTGTTTGTCCTTGTGTTGCCCTGCGATGCACTGGCGACCCGTCCAGGCTATGCCCGTCTCTCGACTTGAGCAGGAAAAAGTGTGACAGAAAATTGATGGATGGATGATTATACTGGTCAACAAGTGAGAGTTGTTTAAAAAAAACAATTTTATCTGCTTTTAACTCAAGTTCTAATAGTTGGCAGTCTGTTCTGCAGTATGCAAAATTAAATAAATATGTTGCTGCCGTAGTAGCCTATGGTCCTCCAGAAATGTACAGCATCATTTGGTTGTAATAAGCCATGGATCTATTGGCACATCAGCTTTGATGACTTTCTACAGCTTCATTGTTTAAACAGATCAGGACTTAGTCTCTTCCATATGTCACAAGATTGGCACATAGAGAGAGACAATGGTTATTTGATTGTTCCTCATTTCAACATTTTCCTAGATCAGGGGTGGGCAATTCCAGTTCCTGGGGGTCGTTATCCTGCATCTTTTAGATGAGTGGGAGGACTCTGCAGGAACCGACTGCATACTGAGGAGGTAACTCAGCCATTTGATTCAGGTGTGTTGGACCAATGATGGATCTTAAAGTTGCAGGATTCCGGCCCCCAGGAACTGGAATTGCCCACCCCTGTCCTAGATTGTCCATTCCTTGATTGCTATCTAATAGGGGTGTGCATTGGCACTGCCCTCACGATTCGATTCGATTACGATTCACCAGGTAACGATTCGATTGAATTCGATTCTATGATGCATTGCGATGCATCAAAATCCCATTGACTTCGTAAAATCCGAAATGTGTCCAGATATCCGCTTTCCAAGCTTTTGGTGTGTTTTTAATTAGGCCTACCCGTCTATCGCGGTCATCTCCCTCAGCCTCAGCCATCTTGATTGTTGTTGGTATGCCCCCGGAAGTAATTGAAACTTCACAACGTGTCCATTTTAGGCCAGAAAATAAACAGTGACATAATCGATTATGGCACGTTGCCGCATCAATGCTGAATCGTGCATGCCCCGCATTGCAATGCATCGCTGAAACGATTATTGTTGACACCCCTACTATCTAATGCTTTCTGCTCCTCAGCTCCTTTCACAGGTTGCAGCTGGAAGTTTAACTTCTTCCATAGAAGTTAGTCTAAGGACAGAGATGACCATGCTTGATTTATATCCAATGGCAGAAGCTGTCAGTAGAAATGTATGCATAGGTGTTTAAATAGGTAAATGTAAGTCAATAAACGTGAATACATTAGAATGTGGATATTTTCCTTGTTAACTCATACAAACATGTGAAATCAGATGTTTCATCTGTGAGAATACAAGTTTCAAAGTTACAGCTTAGCAACAAAGCAAATATAAATCACAAATGTCTTTCTTACTGTAAAAACACAATTACAAATCACAAATTTATGATTATGAATCAAAAATATAAAAGTAGAGATCCACAACCTCTGATGAAGATGTTACTCTCCTTACCGGAGGGTGGTAGCATTATGCCTGAAGGTTGCTCACCAACTGGTATTAAACAAGAAGAAGATGGAGGAGTTCTCAATATGCGATCTTGAGCGTTCTTTTGTGCTCGTGACACGTCATCAGTCTCAGCCCGAGTACAATTGCCGAGAACGCCAGACCGAGAACGCATTAAATCCCCGGATGTTGTTCTCGCACCTCCCTATTTACCGGGTATGCATCAGAGCAGACTTGTCCGTTCTTGAGATTGACAGCTGTTCCAGCATGCACTGCAGCAGCAGCAGCTTTCAATGGAGTGCTATATTGAAAGTTAAAAGTTCTCTTTTCTGTTGCTGTTGTTCAATAAAAGTTTGTTTTAAGATAATTTTTTATCATAATATTGTACTTTAAAGTGTCACTATAAGGTCCATTTACCGATTAAATGCGTTATTTAAAAAAAAATTCCGAAGTTGAGAGGACCGCGGCAACCAGCTGACCTCCGACGCTAACCGCAGCCAGGGCTAACCGCAGCCCGTCTGCAGCAGCCCTCTCTCGGCATAGCCGTGTGTGAAGAACCGCTGGCTATGATGGCGATATTTTTGTTTTATTTGGTAACATTTTCATTTGATTTGTGTTTATATGACTCTGTTAATTATTATTCCCCCACTAAATTAAAAAAGTAATAATTTATTATTATCTAGAGAATATTAATAACAGGAAGTGAAATGCAGCTCTAGACGAGCTGAGCGTGTGGTGATGTCAGAAGTACGCTTCTGTTCCAATTGATCCATATTTATGCTACGTGCTCCCGTTCTCCTTAAGTCCAGACTTTCCTATGTTCTTCTCAAGAACATACTTGGCAAAGACACAAGTCTGTACTCACATTCTGGTGAATTGAGAAACGGCGCCTGTATCCCAAACTGGGTCCATAAGCACTAACCCTTTAGTAGTGTCCCTCCCAGTGAAGTCTCACTCGCAGCTGTGGAAGGCGCCTTGATTGAAGGTGCAGGGGTACAAACGAGAATGAGACGGTTTCTTCCCTTCAACGGAAAAGGAAAGCAGTCGTTGCTATGGCAACACAGGGACGCCCCATGTAGCTCTGTGGTGTAGGTTGGCATAAAATGAAACATTTATCCCTTTCTTAAAACAAATATATAAAGTCAGATAAAACTATTTCACAAAGGACATCCCTGTTAAAATTTATTATGTTTTTTTTTCATATACCTAACTTGTGATTTTTCATCAGTATGACGAAGATGCAGCAAACCAGTAGAACTTACATTTAAATGCGTTTTCTCCGCCGTCAAGCCACTTACACCTGCTACCAAATTCCAGCATGCCTGCACTGATGCAGACTCGCTATTTAAGGGCTGGACGGTCCACTCGCCCTACACACTGCGGGGTTTGAGACGGCACTTAAAGGAATAGTACACCCAAAACATGATTAGCCTTCATTTTCTACTCACCCCCATGCTGAACAAAACTCTGGAGTACTTTTTTGATATCTCAAATGCATCTGGAGATCTGGGAGGCTTCTTGCTGTCTGCTGACATTCAAATAATGGAGGTCTATGGCGCCCGAGGCAGAAAGGTCCATAAAAGTCCACAAAAAATGTGTCAATATTCCTCCATACTGCTCGTCCAATGTATTCCAAATGTCCTGAGTGGGTAGCATCCAGAATTTACTCGAAACGAAGTCATTTAGAACGTTTTAGAGCCTAAACAGTAGTGTATAGGATTTCCTAATAGCGCCCCCATGCGCGCTCACGATTCTACGGAAGCCGGCAGACCAAACCGGAGGAAAGTGCGCATTCAGCGTCTGCTCTGCCGATAATGCAAGCGTAGAAGAAGAAATGTGCTGTTTACCTGTGCAAAGAAAGAAACAACGAAAGAAACTTCAGTGTTGGTGAAGAGCATGAGTTCTTTGCCGAGCTGAATGCGCTGGTTTGGTCTGCCGGCTTCCGTAGAATCGTGAGCGCGCATGGGGGCGCTATTAGGAAATCCTATACAGTACTGTTTAGGCTCTAAAACGTTCTAAATGACTTCGTTTCGAGTAAATTCTGGATGCTACCCACTCAGGACACTTGGAATACATTGGACGAGCAGTATGGAGGAATATTGACACGTTTTTTGTGGACTTTTATGGACCTTTCTGCCTCGGGCGCCATAGACCTCCATTATTTGAATGTCAGCAGACAGCAAGAAGCCTCCCAGATCTCCAGATGCATTTGAGATATCAAAAAAGTACTCCAGAGTGTTGTTCAGCATGGGGGTGAGTAGAAAATGAAGGCTAATCATGTTTTGGGTGTACTATTCCTTTAATGTGGCACACCCTCCGTGGGAAAGTGCAAACGGAGGGTTATTGCTCAGGTTTAGTATTTAGGGGCCAGTTTGGGGGATTGGGTCAAACACATTTTTGGCACTTTGCCACGACCAACAGCTTAGGAGTGTATCGAAGAAATATCTGACTCGTGCAAAGTTGTAACTTCTAAACTTGTATTCTCGTGTATTAAACATCTGATTTCACGATGGGTATGAGTTGACAGCGAGTTACAAATACAAATCACTGACCTAAATTTAAAAAAGTAGACACTTTTGTATACATTTTACTGGCTGTTATTTAACCACATGTTATTTGTGTCTTGATTTGACTGTATATTTGTAATCATTGTCTTATTGGAAAGCCTCATATATGGCCCATAAATATGTTATAGCAAATATCCTTTCTTTTTTTAAGAGTTTACAGTTTTATTTATGTGTTTGTTGAGGGGGATCAATCTGCAGTCACAGGGCGCCGCCGTATATCCGGCCCATTGGAGTCCAGAAGGGTTCAGACAATTTTTCTTCATTTAGAAAGATCACTATATAGAGTGAATCTACAAAAAATAGAAGTTTGATTTGCATCGCAGTTGAAATAGAATTATTTACTGTAAGCATAAAAAGAATGGGATAATTAACTTGTTTCCTGTTAGTACTTTCGGGGGGCACCCTGTGACTGCAGGAAGGTTCTCTTGTTTGAGCCGTTTTATCTTGTTAGCAACTGACACGTTTCTCTCTTTGCTTGTGTATTCTTTGCTGTTGTGGTTTGCAGAATATAGACTTTCAGATGCGTCTGTTTGCAGGTACAGTTTCTTAAACTCCCTGTAGTCCTAGATCAGTAGCTTTAGATTAGAATTAACACACCAGGAATTGCAATATTTCCATCCCAGATTGTGTCATTAAAGTTAGTTTCTGGTGTGTTTTCCACTTTACACTGACCTCATAGTGAAGTCACAGTTAAAAGGGCAAATATCCTCATAATTTAAGGTTCCCAAAAAATACAGATGTTCTCGTCCTTCTGTAAATGTGTCAAAGCAGTAATTTATGTGATTTTAAAACTCCTTCTTGTACTCAGTGTGGAGTCTGTTGTTCTCCAACACAGACAGGTTTTTATGCAAGCATATTGCATTCACCAAAGAAATAAAAATCAGACAGCTTATCTCCGATATCTCGTAATTAGGAGATCTTTTCTCCTAATTAAGAGATATGATCTCATAATTACGAGATCTTATCTCATAATTATGAAATAAGATCTCATGATATTGAGATCAGGATCTCATAATCACGAGATCGGTATCTTGTAATAATGAGATCTTATCTCGTAATTATGAGATCTAATCTTGTAATTTATAATTACGAGAAAAGATCTCATAATTACGAAATAAGATCTCATAATTACGAGATATTGATCTTGTAACTATGAGATAAGCTGTCTGATTTTTCTGTCTTTGGTGAATGCAATACGCTTCCGTAGGTTTTGGATTAGCACACTTCGTTTACCCTAAAAATGTTTGTAGCGCAAAAAATTTGTGAAAACTGAGAAAAAAGACTTCTCTTCATCCACTGAAAATGATCCCTCTGCTCAAGGTTTTTAGTTTTCTCCCCCTTTTTTTTTTTTTTACAAATTGTATTCTTGGCTCTTAGGGCAGGAACAGCTGAGATTGTTAACTACAGGCGTATGTTTTGTTGCTATTTTTAACTTTTAATGTGTGTTTTCGCTAAGCTCAAAACGTCTGATCCAATGGATCTAATGTTTAAAGTAAATTAATAATCAATAATATTTAGCTGTGTGGCTTGGTCAATAGTGATGAGTTGTTTCTTAGTGTCATAGCCAAATGAATAAGAGCTCGTATATCAATATTTTGACATGCTTTTTTAAAACCAGGGCATGTAGAGAACTTGATGGGAATATCAGACTGGTAGTTCAGCCAGAATCTGACCAGTAAATCATTTTAGCTGCTGCTATATTTTACATAACAGGGTAAGTTGCCAAGGAAATTGTCCAGGAGACATGATAGTTTGGGCAAACGATAAATCATTTATTTCATTTTAATTCATTTTTCTTTTGTTGGTCAGAATTTGAGTAAAAATAACTTTTTCCTGAATCCTGCTTGACTCACCGTTTTTTCTATATCAAGTTTTTGCCACAAAGTCCTACTAAAAACTCCCACTTTTGCTAACTTCTCAACTTTTAGCTGAGTTCTTGACTGCATTGTGCTCAAGTTTCTCTTTTTTTAAACCTTTTTTGCATACGTTCCTTTAACAAATTTGAAAAGGGGAATCTAAAAGTGTGATGATATCTGCCCTTTATGTCATATCTGTAGCACAAAGCAGCTTTTGTTCATATCTAGAAGGTAGGAGTCGGTTAACATCTTAGTTATGGCATTAAGGCTCCAGAAATGATCAAATAAACAACTGAGGAGGAAATTATCAGGCATCAAGGTCACATTCAACCTAATCACTGAACTCCAAATAATCCCCCTTTACTGTGATAAGCATATTTAACACAAACAGAGGGAAAATCTTTATTGAGTTAATTATTCTTTGTTGTAGCAATACTTATTAGCAATAGTTCCTACTCAGTAAATCATATCTTTTAAATAGTGCTGTATTTTTCTGCTACATCTATTGAGGTTGTGCTCTGTATAGTTTGTAGCTTACAACCATGTAAACTCTCTGCCAATCCCCCCCCCAAAAAAATCTGTGATTGTTTCTTGTTTGATTTCTTTTATTGGACCAAACGGTCTGAAGTTTGAAGAAATAAGATCTACTGGTGGTTTAATAGTAAATGCATTTAACAAACTAGGGTCTCAGTAGCTGTATTTTCATTACAAATTTGCTCAAAACTATGTGTTATTGCAAAATTCAAAAATGTGTTTTTTCCATTAAATAATTACGATTAAAATTGCACGTTTATATCTTTTTTTATGCAAAAACAACATGGCAGCTCCATATTTAAACACATGAGATATATCCTACAAATATTTCCGGACTTCTTTGTCTTTTTACAAGGCCATAAGGTCCAGGTGCTGATCATGTGACTTGTGTAATGTGGAAAAATTGTTTCTGTTGCAGTTTAGTGAAATATAAGTATTTCAATAAGGCCCAAAAACCACATCATCCAAGTGTTAAAAAACGTTTTTTTTTTTTTAAATATGCCTTTTTTTTCCTCCCGAAATTCTAAAATTGTAGTGTTTTCTTAGCGATTTTTTCGTAATTAAAATTTGTGCAATTTGATTGTTTATGGAAATACACCTAGTGATATATGGGAGAACAGCACTGGCATCTCTTCATGCCAGTTGCCTTGCACTCTTCTGAGGGAGGACAACCCTTTTTTCAAATAACATTCATGGAAAGACATTCAGTTTTGTTGTGTTTGTCACTCTGAGACAAACAGCATGCCAGAGCCTCTCCTCCCAGTGGGGAGCAGGCAGGTCCTGTCCTCCTCACCCCTCCCAAATCCTAGATGTACCCTCTGATAAAACTTGCTCTGTAGGAGCAAACAGGGACATATCTGACGATAGAAGCCCGACATGTATACTAAAACTTTTTTGAAATAAGGACACAACAGACATTATTAGTTGGGACCGATTGGGGCCTTCTGCAGGGCCAAAGTGGGAGTTTTTTTGGATGTGGAAGGAGTTTGTGTAAGACATGAATTGTTCTAGGGAAACTCCTGATCCCTATTGCCAACTTAGCAACTTTGTTGCTTTATTTAGTGACTTTTCAGACGCCTCTCGCAACTTTTCTTCAAACAAAGCAACATGGGATAAACCTAGCGACTTTGTATCTGTCTTGTTGGGGCGACAGTGGCGTTGGATGTAGGAGTTTGCCCTGTAATTGAAGGGTTGACGGTTCAAGCCCCGACTCCGACTTTCATTGTCGTTGTGTCCTTGGGCAAGACACTTCACCTGCATTGTCTACTGATGGTGGTCAGAGGGCCCGGTGGCGCCAGTGTATGGCAGCCTCGCTTCTGTCAGTGAGCCCCAGGGCAGCTGTGGCTACAATGTAGCTTGCCACCATCAGTGTGTGAGTGTGTGTGTGAATGGGTGAATGAATGTAGTGTAAAGCGCTTTGGTCAGGTCTCCTAACTTGAATAAAGGCGCTATATAAGTACATGCCATTTACCATTTGTTGGAAATGATGTGAAAGCAGATTATGTAAACCTGGTGGTGGGCTTCCTGCTTAAAGGAGAATTCCGGTTTTTAACACTTTTAGCCCATTTTCTGTAGTGTCCAGGATGAAATCGAATGATCGACACCATTTTTGACAATCGGTCCTGTCTCTGCTTTTTGGCTCATGCAGAATCCCCCCCTGGCTGCTTCAGAATGGCTTCCATAGTGCATGTCCGATAATGTCCTTAAAACAACCTTAAACGTTCTTTTTTTAAAATATGCTACTCACCGGGTCGTCAGCGCTGTTCAATGACGTTCCAAAAAAAGTTTCGTGAAGAAAAAACGTTCCAGTAGTGTTTTATTTAGCATTTTGTAAATCCCAGAACTATTTTTTCCGATACATCACAACCGCTTATAAACATTTCCGTTTCCGGTGGCAGGGGAATATTGACTGTTCCAACAGAACTCAATGGGATTTACAAAATGCTAAATAAAACACTACAGGAACGTTTTTTCTTTACGAAACTTTTTTTGGAACGTCATTGAACAGCGCTGACGACCCGGTGAGTAGCATATTTAAAAAAAAGAACGTTTAAGGTTGTTTTAAGGACATTATCGGACATGCACTATGGAAGCCATTCTGAAGCAGCCAGGGGGGGATTATGCATGAGCTAAAAAGCAGAGACAGGACCAATTGTCAAAATTTTGGTGTCGATCATTCGATTTCATCCTGGACACTACAGAAAATGGGCTAAAAGTGTTAAAAACCGGAATTCTCCTTTAAGGGGGGGTGAGAACAATAATCTAATGGGACAGATTCTTGGCTTCTCAAAAAAACCCAGTTTCAGGACAGGTCATTATAATTTTTATGTAACTCAAAACTTAAAGCAACTGTGACACAACAAAGAACATTGTTCATCTAACGTCACCTTAGTGTTTTCCTTGGGTCCCTTCCTCTTCTGAAAATAGTGCATAATGTGTTTTTTATATATATATTTTATGTAGAATGCAAAAAAGGATTAATTAAATGGAAAATGTACCTGACACTAATCTATGTCGTGCTATTTAAAAACATCTCTGAAACATTACGCATGAAGGGCAAACTATATTACCGTATTTTCACGACCATAAGGCGCACCGTACTAAAAGGCGCAGTCTCAGTTATGTGTCCCATTTCTGTATTTAACACACACATAAGGCGCACCGGACTATAGGGCGCGTTTTTTATATACAGGTACATGTCCTCTACTACCTTTAAATACCTCTACTGCGTATTTAAAAATACAGCGGGGGCAAAACTGAGTATGACTGTGCTTTATTCATATATTTATTACAAAGTATTAATCAAACCTGGGAGCTGGCCGTGAGACAGAGACATCGCAGATGACACAGCGCTGTGATGACTCCTAAATTAACTTAAAATCCTGAAACCTGCCGACGGAATATGTTCGCTTTTATTACCGGTATCCTGGTGCCTGCAGCTAAAATTATTTAGATGAAAAACACCTGCCAGCAGCCGCGGTGAACCTGGAGGCTACCCGGCCTAGAGGCTGCTGATGAAAGGATTTCTACTGTTGGCGCACTGCTGGTATGTGGGGGTCTGAGCGCCTCCGACAGAAATAGATAATCTGGATGAACTGACTGCAATTATGAAGTTTTCAGGTGGACTTTCTCACTTAAAAACATAT